TCTTAGTGGCTTTATTACCTTGCTTGGGATGAAATGATTAAAAGAAACAACATGAGGTTGGATGACTCTGGATTTTATGGACCACATTTCCATCTAAGATTCTCTACTCAAATGCAACAGATACAATCCATTTATGAAAAGAATGATCACAGGTAATGTAAAACAAATCGTTTACAACAATGTGGAGCAAAAAAATGTTCTGGGGAAAACAAAATGAACCACAGTTAATCACTCAAAAAGCTGGTTTGTATCCAAAGAACATAATGTTGTGTATCTGATGGGATTGGAAAGGATTGTATACTATGAGCCCTTTCCACAAAATCAGACATTGAATTCAGACAAGTACTTTTTCCCAATTGACATTATTTAACCTTATTGGAGATTTCAATTGTTAAATCCCTGGTGTTGAAAAATCTGAATATGTGACATTAGTGCAATTAAAGTGATATATATATATATATATATATATATATATATATGATTAATGCAAATATAAAATTTGTCACTCTAGCTGAGTGATGTTATATTCAGCACCTCTACTCCAGAGTTTCATTGATGAACCTTTGTGTAATTGTTTGGTCCACACCTCAGGAGATTCTAGCAAATGTCTTAATTTTCCCAGTTTTTGTTATTTTTTTATATTAAGTTTTAAAAAAAAATTATTTGCTTTTTTATTGGTGTTAGGTTGATTTTACTTGTGTGTGTGTGTGTGTGCATGCATGTTCACCTGTGTGTGTAGGATGTTGTGGTTATTCCTTCTTTGCATAATTTTCATGTCTCCTTATAGACACTCATTATTCCTTTTCATTATCTTTTAGCTCTAAGTACCAAAAAATGACGTAACAATGTTATATCCGGTGTCAGAGATGACTCATATTTAGGTCAAGTTTTCTAAAGTTTTTGAAAATATAGGCATATTCCATTATTTTTTATTTATTTCTTGTTTACATATTTGTTTTTTTTTTTATTTATTTCTCATTTAAATAGTTTTATTTTTTAATTAATAATATCAAATATACCGTGATTTTCCAAATGTAGCTTAGATGTGACACTGGGCGAAAGTATGGAGCACCCAGTGAGGATCAAACTCATTTAGTAGTAATTGTTCTAGCAAGGCAAGCTCGCTAACCATTACAATGCCTTGAGGTGCCCTTAATATCAAATATACATGAACCAATTTGAACTCTCATTTTACACTTTTCTTTTGACATTCATACACTCAAAGCATGTTTTTTTTTTTCTTGCCTGCTCCCAAGTCCCTTGGTTTGTTTACTCAAATCCATCACTGCAGATAAGATTGTTTCTACCCAGGTAAACTGCAGGCAGAACCTAAGAGTTTACTTGTAAAATATATATATATATATATATATATATATATATATAAAGATTTCAACCTGTATTATTTAAATAAAAGAATGTGGTAAATAACAAAACATTAACATATTTCATCAAACTCATTGGAGGAATTGTAAAAGATTGAAAAGCAATTTCATATTTTTCCAGTCATGTTAACTGGGGCAAAGCATGGCTTGTTAATTTTAACACTTCCAAAACGAAACTGCTGTCTATTAATCATCTGAGAGACCCCTTTCTGACTTCCATCAGCATGTCTGATGCTAACCTCCAGGACAGTGACTCGTGCCTTCTTGGGCTAACAATCTCTGCTGACATGAAGTGGAAAGATTATATTGAATCAATTGCTTGGTCTGCTTCTTAGAAAATTGGTTCACGGTGTTGTTCTAGACAATTTTTCTCTTCTGAATCTATCTTGCATATTTATATCCGCTGTTCATCCATGCTTAGAATATTGCTGCCACATATGGTCTGATTGTCCTGCTATATATTTAAATATTTATTCTTGATAAAATTCAAAGAATTACTGTCATTTTAGTTATGAATGTTGTTTGAATTGTTTCCTTTTAAAAAAAAAAAATTATTAAAATTTACTATTGTCAATCATTTTAATTAGATAATTCATTTCATATTTATCTCATGTCTGTTAGTCTATATCTGGAAACTGCATAATTCTGTGAAACTGGTGTTGATTTTAATTTTCTTTGCAACAAGATTCCTACCTTACAAGGCAAAGTAATGAAAGTGATGAGAATTCTTAAGTCCTTTCTTTTAATAACCACTAAATAGGCATGTCACTTTACTTATTATTTGCACTGTCCAATCCCTTGCTTTCTCAAATCTTGCAATTATGAGTTGCATGTATGAATTGAACCATTTTGTAGCCATAGGTTCCATTTTGTTGTTGTAAATACTTTGTATTACTTAAATATTCTGGGTTAAATTATTGTTTCCTTTTTACTAATGTGTGTCTTCAGATTAATAATACATAGATTCACATAAAGAAAAAATAAGTGTGATTTAAATTAACATTAAGATTAAAAGCTGCACTAAAATCTGAATTTATGCAGTTTTCCATTTAGGATGATGCACTGATTGCTATTTTTCATAATGAATAATTTTTTTTTTTTTTTAAATAATTTCACACCAAGCAAGGCAATAAAGTCACTAAGACAACTGAGAGAGAGAAAATATGAGAAAAAAAAGCACTATTAAGGAAAATAAAAACAGGAATTAAGAAAACAGAAGATTAATGATTGACATTGCATTTAAATTTTTGAAGTTCAAAATTGACTGGAAAGCAAGAAGCTGGACAAGAGTTTCATAAGTGAGATGTGTGAGAGAAGACACTGTTAGCACAGAGCTAACAGTTACATCTAGCCATTTCAACTGTAAAATGATGAAACCTTGCTGCCAGTATAGAACTATGTTTAAATTCATAAATTCTTGGTAAAAAAAAAAAAAAAAAAAAAAACGCTTATACCATGAAAGTATTTATAGAAAGGGCACAGTGAAGCTATGTTATGACAGTGGGAATGTGACTGAAGCCAGATGCCAGGTTAAGACCAATAACATTACAGATTATTCTTTGGATTTTGTCAAGAATCTCTAAATATATAGCAGAAGCACCAGACAAGATATAACAGTAATATTAAATGCATGGATGATAGACCAGCAACTTTGGATCTTCCTACCCACAAAAAATGGTGTGTCAAAAGGACAGTTTTTTCCTTGAGGCTGCTATTATTTTAACTAACTTCACTCCTTGGCAATGTTTGTTTTAAAAAGTGATGATTAGAATTGTAATAAAGCCAATATTGTCAGCAGACTTACAAATGTATAAGATAGATTCTGGCAAGAAAAGTTGTCTAACACAATGAACCAACTTTCCTAGTAGCAAAACTAGCAATTGATTCAATATTATCTTTCCATGTCATATCAAAAGAAAATCGTAGCCTGAGAAGGCACAATGTGTCATCCTCCTGGATGTTAGCATCAGACATGCTGATAAAAGGTAAAAAAAGGTTCTCTCAGATGATTAAAAGAAAGCAGTTTCATTTTGGAGGAGTTAAAATTAATCCATTTCATGCTTGAGTTAACAACAGATTATAGGACATTTTTTAAAATTAACTGCACTTAAATTAAAAATATACAGTATCTAATGTGCTGGAATGCTGAAAGCAAAACTAACAATAGTAACAATAACAGGCACATTTCCCTGGCTAAAATAACTTTCATAATACAGTTTATTACATAAGGTTTATTATCTTCTGTTCATTCATCTCTTGTAATAACAATCTAAAATGATGAGACTTTGTAGCGAACCCCCGAGCGCCCCCATATCACAAAAGGGTGATGAGGTCACAAGAGGCCCGCTAACATTTTTGAAGACGTTAAATCTGACAAGGTGAAACAATATAGACGACAGAATGAGGATATATATGATATATGCTAATTTATTCTAGAAAAAGAAAATAAAGGTGGTCGGAACGGTAGAGGTGCAGAAGTTCTAGTGCAGGCATTGATGGTTGAGGTGGGTCATTACAGGTGATTGCTGTTGGTCATGCAGGTGGTCGCTGCAGAGATGATTGCTGTAGTTGAAGTTGGTCATTGCTGTGTTACAGATGATCGCTGCTGGTTATGCAGGTGATCGCAGTAGTTGATGTTGGTCGTTGCCGGGATGATCGCTGTTGGTTGTTGCAGTTGATGTTGGTCGTGGCCGGGATGCCAACTTGATGTGTTGGGAAGGAAAGAGGAACGGCGTTGTTCGGGCATGTCACAGGTCCAGTGCAGGCATTGCGTGTTTGCCGGTCGAGTCCGATATTAGTAACCTCCCGTAATAATTACTAACATAGTGTACGGGAAAGATTAAGGATGACGTGCAGCCAGCCAGTAGGGACAGAATGCCAAGCGTCGAACGGGGCCAAGGAGCCAGGAGTAGTAGGCGAAGGAGAGAGAGAGAGAAAGGAAAGTTTCCAGCTATCGTCAATTTGGCAGACAAAAAAAAATGGGAGCGTAACTTAATACGCAGCCCGATGATCAACGTTTCTGGCCGCGAAGGCCAGGGGTCTGTGTATCCAACCGTTTCAGTCGCCGACCGTGAATTTAGTGAGAAGTCACTGTCTTGTGGTAAGGGAGACCAGCAAGAGAATTGGATAAGCTAACAGTAAAGTCTCTATAAAAAAATAAGTCGAGGTTAGCTAAAGGGAACTAAGGCCTAAAAATGTCTAGAAGTATATTACAACTAGGTTTGTAATATAAGTAAACTAAAAAGGGAACTTGCTAGTCTCTACCACAGGTTAACAGTGTATAGGGAGCACAAACGAAAGGTCAAGGTCGAAATGACCTGTTCTCTTAATTTAAGGAGCGAAAGGAAGAGGTAACTCCGACAACTTCAAATAAACTACCCGAAAATATATAACCAGAAAAGCCATTTTTATGGAAACCTCCAGCAAAGTTCCCAAAAATGCTATAGTAACGGAAACCAACATTTACACAGATAAGAAGTCAGTCAAAAAGAGAAACAAATTCACGTATATTTTATTCAAAATCTTTAACCACATAGTGGAAGATAGTTACAATTTGGTATAAAAGATAATGTAGAAAGAAAAAGAAATCAGGTTGGCCAACAAGAAAAGATATCCATTTCATTTTTCCATCTGACTAGTCAAACTCAGCTTGAATGTAATTGACGTTGGAGTTGTTTGGTCTGCAACATAAATTTCTGAGCCATCACTCAAGCCAAGTTCTGAAAGGAAAAAAAAAATCAATTTTGAATTAGAAATTCAAGCAAAAATAATCAGACTGATAAAAATCCACCATCTGAAACAAAAACACACATATATACATCTGGATAACATTTAATTCAATTTAAATCAAAACACATATAAAAAAGAAAAAAAAAAGAACAGCAAACATTGACCTGTTTATTATGAGATGATTCTGGATACCATGTGTAATATTTTAATATACTTTGCAATATATTATGGAAACTGTTTATCATTGTTAGTTGAACTCTTAGTACTCATGAAAATTTCAGTTTTCCAATTTGAATATTCTGATGAATCATAATTTTTAAGTTAATGACTGAATAATCTCTTTGCAAATTCCATGACCATAAAATGTTCATGAAAATTTCCTTATTAACCTATTAAATATTTGAGTATAACAAAATATTGCAATAATAATCATAAATATGAATACAAGTTATTTAAAATAAGAGGTTACAGATGAAAAGATTAAAAATTGACAAGGTTTTCCATTTCACTGATGCAGCTGTTAAACACATGAAAGCATTAACACTCCTCTATCTTCTTTCTTTTTCTTCTCACTGAAACTAAACAGAATCTTTTCCATCTTTTCTTGCACAACCAAAATGGAATAGTTCATTATTTATGAGGTATTGGCAGTGCATAATGTATGTGCTAAGGAACAAGCGATATTATAATATGATTCTATCCAAAGATTAAACATCAATCCTTCTGATTTTGCAGTGTTTCATATTAAAAAAAGTCTTGATTTACACCAAAATAGCAAAGACAGAACCAATTGTGTAACCAGTAAATCATGGCATTGTTCATGCAGTTATTCCTTATATAAAAACTTGAAAAATTTACCTAAAACATGCTGATAGCAATCATTAATATTTCTAATTATGTCCAGTAGCTTTTAAATGTAATCTACAATTTTAAGAAAAATTACAATAAGCTGTATGTAAGAAATAATTAATGAACAAAAATTAAGTATTTTTCAAAACACAAATAAAATGTCAATTATTTGTCCTGCTCTACATTTTATGGCTCTTGTGCTTTAAATTAGGTAAACATTAGTTTAAAAAGAAATTAGTTGGATACATCAATAAATTTGAAAAATGTATTTATTTTACACAGCAAATAAGTTTTTAATATAATTTCCTTCCTTGTCAATTCATTTGTGAATATTGATCATATAGAGTGAACATTATACAGTGAAAATTTAAGATCAAAATTTAACTGATCACTATATGTCAAATTTTAAAATTATTGATCAATCCTCATACTACTTAATGAATAAATATAAAAAAAATTAGCAGAAGTCAAAATTTCTTTTAATTAAACATTGTTTTTTCTTTACATATACCATATATACTCACGTATGATGCGATCTTTGAAGACCTAATTTTGAAGCTAATTTGATTACAGTAAATGAATGTATAGTTTGGTCAATGGCATAGCAGTACATATGGTAATTTTATATCTCATGTATGATGCGTGAATATATACAGTATTTATTATCTATGACACCACTAAGATAGGAAAATATGAAATGTGATTAGGGAATTTTAAGAGATTCATTCAGGAGGAGATTAACTCCAATAAACTTCTTTGCTGGTAATCAATATTACTGATCTAAAAGTGTATGGTGATAAAATCATTTTCAGTAAAATGTAACCAACTTTTATTGCATTTTTTTTTAAGGAATCAAAGAAATAAAAAAAACAAAAACAAAAAAAACAAATCAATAAGAGTGCAATAACAAAAGTAAAAACCGAACACTGTCTCAAAACAAATTCTAATAATTTGAGTAATCTTGAATGGTTTTAACAAAATTTTAAAAATCTTGATAATTTTTGAGATAAGGAATTATCATTATTATATGCTATTCAAACCAGTATGCCAATTTTGTCCATGTATCACATGGCCTAGTTGGTTAAAACATATCAGGTTCTTTGGCAGTTATGAATTTAATCCTTAAGATTGGTAATACAGAAGTCACAGTCTTATTCAATGGAAGAAACAAACAAGCAGTACAAAGATGAATAAAAGCAACAAGTATTCACTGATACAAAATATCCACTAAGAATGAAAAGAAGTAGAACAATTTATTCCCACCCCAAGTCGAATAAATTGTTCAGTTCGAAATTCTAAGAAGTCTACCAAGTACGAAGATAGACACCTGGTGAAAGCTGGAGAGTAGAAAAGCCAGAAAAGATATAACAACCAAAATGTGCATGCTGAGCTAAAAATCTACAATCAGAATTTTTTTTCAGTTTTTCAACTCATTCTGTGTATAAAAAGACAAAAAAAATATAATTACCTTTTAATGACATTTTTAGATTCTCTCTAGTTTTTTCTTCAATAGACTTCACTGTTTTCATATAAAGAGTTTTGCTTTTTCCACTTATCAATGTTGTAATGGCTGGAGACTTCATTTGGCTACAAATAATAAACCAATACATATCTTGAATTATTTAAAAAGAAAAAGATATTATAGCATAGCTATATTATTTTCAAAAGTATTTCATTTATTGCCATCTAAAAAGCTTTATTAATTATAATAAAAAACAATACAAGAAGTCATTACAGGTCATAATATAAATTAAAATGAATGAATATGCACATGTTCCTGAAATACCTATATTGATCAAGATTCCTATATGAAAACTTTTGTAATGATTATATTTGGAAAGAAAAAAAAAATCAAGATATAAGGATTTCAATCAAATAAATTCAGATTTGGATAATAATTTTTCACTTGATAATGATTAGAGGAAGCATTGCATGTGACCTGAAAGAAAAGAAAAATATTTTTAATCTTTTTCTGGAGATTTGATTTCTCCATAAAATAAATCCATGCAGCCATTTCTTGTTGCTTTTGATGGTGTCCAGTAGAAACCGGATGATAATTTTTTCAAGGGGGTGATCTTTTCCATAAATTGAATTTACCTAAAATTCAAAATTGTTGAAGACCCTTTTACTATAGTCAAGATGGTTAGCATTTAGTTAAGGTTCAGACCACTCCTTGTTACAGTCCCTATAAAGGGATTGGTCAACTGGATCAAGTGACACCTCAAAGAGAGTAGTAACAGGTTGTTTCTAAGGAAGTTTCTAAGAGGAGGTGGTAGCTATGTGTGGAATCAGAGATGCCAAAGAAGGCAAGTTGGAGTTTGATAGGTGGATTAACCCTCTCATTGCCACTAAGAGGCTGGATAATTGCCCAAAACTGGAAAATATCAGTCGAGAGAAAGGAATGGTTGATATTTCTATGCCGGTCAGACTCCCACCTGGTTCTGGGTGAAATATTATTTAAACTGGGCATTTTGAGGCTTTCAGTGAAAACATGGCCGCAGGTTAAGCAGAGTAGAACCGCAAGTCAGGCGGAACAGATTAGCAGACTCCAAAGTAGTTCAGCAAAGTCCACAGAAGAACTCTGAGAAAGAGTTATCACTTAGATTTGAATCAGAATGTGCATAAGAATTGACTAGGCTACCCCCTGAACCCATTATCATGTACCAAGCTAAAACCAACAATTAGACACCCAGATTGAGCAACTAAGAGCCCAAGTCTTAAGGTATACTCATAAATCACTCCCATGGTTTTTTTTTTTTTTTGAAGCTTGTATTTTTTTTTCTAATATCACCTTGTATAAATGATTTTTTAAAGTTGAAAAGAGTTGTGGTCTCCCTCATTATATAACCATCAAAGCCGCTGTTAGCTGTGGTATACCAACTCCGGCAGCAGATTTCTGGTTGTTTAAGATCAGTCACAATGTGGGCATTTGACCAGACTTTTTGACAACTTTAGAAGTCATTGCCAGCAACAGTTGATGGAAGAAATCCAATATTGATGGTCATTATCGGATATTCATTGAGCCCTTTAGCTCATTGGCTGACTAGTTGGCATTATAGATATAATGTAAATGCATTTATGATTTAAGTAAAAATAATGTTTTTATATATATATATATATACACACACACACACAAGATTGTCCACATAAGATTCTTATAATATGTAGATATAATAAGCTGGTGAAAGAAATTTGAGAGATAAAAAACAAAAAAAAGCAAAAATGATAATATTGATAATAAAACTAATATTTATTGTATAATAGTAGGGTTTTGAACAAACGAAGCTTGATGAGAAAGAGTTTAAAAATCGAAATTACCAGACATGCCTGTGTCCTTTTTCAACAGGAGGAAAAATGAAGTGTGACTTTATTTTTCAGGGATTTTTTTTTTTTTTGCATGTGTTATATTACTGGACACATCTGATAGTTTTGGGTTAGTTATTTGCCACGATTAGAGTTGTAGAAGGCTTTCTGTGGAAACTATTCTTTGCATATGCCTAAATTCCTGTTTAATCCTAGGATGTGTGAATATTCCACACACACACACACACACACACACACACATTCTAATTATCTCAGGATTCATTCTTATGGCAATGTATACATAATTTAAAAATGTTTGACTGAATATCAGTCTGAGTATTTCAGAGATACATACAAATAGATTCAAACAAAAATGCAAGGAAAAATTCTCCAGTTATCTCAAGATTTGAATAAAACTTTTATTTTCAGGATATGTGCATCAAACTGAAATATTTTGAACATGTATGATAATCAGAAAAAAGTTACCAATGCTTTTTTTTTTTTAACTGAATACAAAATATGGCTAAAATATTAAGCTATGATAAATTGACTGAGAAACAATAAAAACATTTGGCTGCCAAATTATCCTGTTGACTTTAGGTATGAAATTTAAGAAATCCATAAATAAAAGCAAAAGAGAATTTTGTTTCATTCTTGTGCAAATGGCATAGTTTCATTTTAGCTGTTCATTGCTTAAATGACCTGATCAGTTTCAGAAATATTTTTAATAAAATAAAGACATACATGAATACTTACAAAGATGCACTTTCAATGAGATAATCAATAATATCTCGTAATTTGTTTTCTTCTGTAAAATGCAGAGTTTGTGGAATCTGGCTACAGGCTAAACAATCCTCCTGAAAGAGAAATCTTTTTATTAAGAATTTGGAAAATATTAAATGATTGAAATATTTTTGCTTTATTAATGCCTATTGTTAGCACAGAAGACTATCTTTTATTTTAGAGAACAAATGAAAACCTCAAGGCACAAATACATTTAATCTAAAATTAGAGATTTTGTTTACAAAAGGGAAAAATTGTTTATTTGCTAGCATGAGTAGATTTTCACTCAAGAATTGGAATTCAGATTTAATTCATTATTTCATCATCTATTAAAGAAGAAGCAAATAAGTCAATATGTGTTTCAAGTTTTGTTAGATAATTATGTCCTATAAAAATAGAGAGAGACTTAGAATTAATGAGGTGATACAAGGAGTACATTTATTTGATATTATGTATGGAAAACCATATATTGCATATGTATTACATACTGAGAAAATGTGTAATTGTTGCAATTAAACCAAAATGTTATTTTACAAGTGCAATTTTTTTAAAGCTCTTTATATAATAGGATGAAGAGAAAGAAAGACTGGTTTAAAATCTTTATATTTCTAATATAATGACAGAATAAGGATTATATGTGTAATTGTCTTAGTCTCAAATATTTTTTTTTACTCCATGGAAAATTCATAAATTTTGTATCCTGTAAGCTGAAATCAGACTGGAGAACCCAATCAAAAATGATGTGCAATACATAAACAATTATTCCTATGTATAGTATAAAGCAAATATTTGAGAACAGAATCCTATATATTTTATTAGTGGAAAAAGTTTTTGTGTGACACGTTTCATCCTTTAGGACTTCTTTATAGATTTAGTCTGATGAAATCTTAAAGGATAAAACATATCACATGAAAACTTTTTCTATTTTGTCATACTCCATTCCCCTTATATATAATTAATTCACCTTCAAGCAAGGTGACAATGCCTAAGAGACAAGGAATGAAAGAAAATGAAAAGACTTTAGAAGGAACTGGAAATGAAAAGTCTTTAGAAGGAACTGGAAACCTCACACTAAACATGAAACAAGAGACAAACCTCTATTCCTCTTCAAAAGACCGGGGAGGAGTGTGAACTGATATATATCATTATCATCATCCCCTTGACTTTTGTATTTGTAGTGGGGATCCAAATGCAGAAGCCATACTGAATCTCCTCCACAACAGTCTATCAACAGCAGCCATCAGCAGTTCTTGTATAGTCATACTTGTTCATTGTTTGACATTGGGCAACCAATTTTTGCATTGGTGTCCTCTCTTATGTCCACTTTCAGCAGTGCCTTACATGATGGTCTTGCACAGGTTGCTGTGCCTTGTAATGTGCCCAAACTATGCCATTTTACATTTGACAGTGGTGAGAAGAGGTTCCTGGTGACCCACAAAACTTTCAACCCTTTTCCACACAAACTCATTGGTTTTATGTTCCCAATAGAAGATGCCAAGTAGTTTTCTTGTGCATTTGTTCTCAAATACTTGGATCCTTCACTTTGTTTCTGCCAACAGAATTTCACATCCATATAGGAGAATAGAGTACCAGCAATTTGTACAGTCTTTACTTCATTTGAAAGCTGATTTTGCTCCTCCATATTCTTGCCAATATGGCCATGGCCAAACTTGTGTGCAGATTTCCGAGTTGCAGGTACCATCTTTAGACAAGGTTACTCCCAAGTATTTAAAACTGGACACTTCCTCTGGTGAATTCCCATTCATGTTAATGTTGGTGTTATCGTTTGTGCTATTCACCATTACTTTGGATTTCTCAGAGATCACCTCCATTCCATATGCTCCTACTCTTTCAACAAGTTTGTTGATCAAGTCCTGGAGATCACTGTTACTACCTGCTATGAAGTCAATGTTGTCTACAAAATGTGGGTTATAGAGAGGTCTACAACCAATAGAGATTGAAGGATCATGGTCATTCAGAGTTTCTCTCTAGAAATAAATTGAATAATGTGGGTGAAATTACTCATCCCTGTCTCACGCTGACACTTGTCTGGAAGAATCCTGCCACTTGTTTTCCCAGAACTGAGCTGAGCAGCCTGGATGATTTGGATAATTCCATTATTTACATTGAATTCCCCAAGGATTTGCCAAAGACCATCATAACATACATGATCAAACACTTTCTTGAAATCGACTTGTGGAATACATCCTTCTGATGTTGCAGGTGTTTTTCTACAAGGATGCTACAATTGAAGACCAGTCCCATTATACTTCATCTGGTTCTAAAACCTGCTCGTGCCTCTGATAGCAGTTTTTCCCCCTTGGATTTCAAACAATTCAAAATGATATGGAGCAAGATTTTACGAGGATAACTGATCAGGCTTATTGTCCTATGATTTTGACACTGCCTGAGGCTTTCTTTGGCAGGGGGTATAACCAATGACCGAGTTCACTCATCAGGCCACTTTTTTGTTCCCAAATCTTCTTAATCTTTTTTAACCTTAAAAAAATTAAAAAAGAAGCAATTTCATTTTGGAGGTATTAAAATTTACATGCCATTTCATGCCCCAGTTAACAATTGATTGGGAGTCATTTTTGAGAGTAGCTGCCAGAAGTAGAGGAGTAGCAGCAAAGTCAGTGGCCAGCAATAACAAAAACTGCAACTATGTATACCAGTTTTAAATATACTTGATACTACTGTTAGAATTTGCTGTGTTACTAGATGTGTAATCATTATCGTGAATGCAAGTTTTGATATATTAATTTGATAAATCCTACACACAACATCACAGATAACATAAGCAACTAACAATCTATAATAAATAATTTATGAAACATTTCAACCAGACCTTCCTTTCAGCCTCAAAAGAGTAAGTGTAGATTCCGTCAGTGTCACTGAAGTTCATGTAATTGTTAAGAGGTGCACAGCAACTGAAAGAAATAGAAAAGATAACTGCAATTAAACAGATATGGATAATTTTATGAAATCTATGCAGTTCTTAATATTGTATGTTAAATATTCTTCATTATGAGGTTGCTTTCTTATTTATTTTCATATCAATAAAGTATTTTATTTCTTGCAATAAGCCTATTTCAAATTTCAAAATGTTACTTTATTGAGAAACTAAAGAAATTAATTCTTTTATGACTTAGGGTCAGACTATCTTTTTTTAGATATTAAAAATATTTTAAATAATATCAAATTCAGGCAAGACCATAATGTATCACACTTAAGAAAGAAATGACTAATTTATGATTTTGCAATCATCAGAAAATAAAAAATTACAAAATTCAACAATAAAATGTTTTATTAAATCAGTGATCAAAAACTCGGACTTTAAGAAAGAAAAAATTCAACATCATCTTAATAGAAAATATATGGAAATTATACAGTGCGATGGATAAATTGTCATTTAAGTTACACAAAAATAAAAATAACCCTGACATCTCATTTTAACAGATATATTTACCAAAATAAAACAAAAATATCTTGAAATACCAAAGAGTAAATTCATTCAATAAAATTGCCGCTGGCTTCAACCACAGCCTTCAGACTACTTCGGAAGTTCCTGCAACTCTTCTAGATGGTCTCCTTGTTTATGTTGGTGAATGCTGCCATAATCCTTGCCCCCAGTTCATCTTTGGTATTACAAGTTTTGTTGGTCTCTCACTCAATTGTACCCCACACATCATAAAAGGTGTTGCAGTCTGGGGAGCTAGGTGGCAAGATGTAAGGGGTGATGTGATCACAGAAATTGTCTGACAGCCATGACTGGGTTCTCCTGCTTGTGTGGTATGGTGCAGAATCCTGTTGCCAGACATAGGGTCTTCCAGCAGCCACCCTCTTGACCCAGGGCAACACAACCTTCTCAAGGCACTTGATGTAGGCTCCTGTGTTGACTCTGTAGCCCTTACCAACAAATTCAGGAGTTCTTTTCTTATCAGAATGATCAAAAAATATAAAATGGTGACAATTTATCCATTGCACTCTGTATGTTCAAGATCATATTAATAGAAGATATATGGAAATAAAAAATATTTATTACAGGAAACAATTACAGTTAAAATGTTATAGTACTTTTTTGAGAGGAGATGAGAGTTATAAAATCTATGTGATTATGAATTACTCCCATCCTCTTCAATTTCTTCTCGTGTCAGCTGTTTTTTTTTTTTAATTTTTCTCTACACTTATAATAAGAAGTCATGTATTGAGAAGAGATTTTATATGTAAATATTTTGTGTTCTTGATAATGCTTGAAACTAAAATTATTAGCAAAAAAATGAGTCTTCAATCTCTTTTTCACCCCATACCAAGATCTATTATAGTTTCTAGAAAACTTTTTATCATTTTTATGAAATTTGAAAAAGAAAGCCTGTTTTTAAAAGGCAAAAGAAAATTAAGCTATAAATGGCTGGCTAGATCAATTATTTGTCACCTGCTTTGTATATAGATAAACTGTTCCTTCATTTGTATTTTGGTTTATGTCAGTAACATAAAACCAGTTTTCAATGTGACCCCCCACCATTTTATTTTCTCTATTGTTATCTCTTGTTATTCTTTTATAGACACACAGACAATAATAGGACTGTTGAAATAGCAATAGCTGCAAAGTTATTTTACATATTTCAGAATACAAAAAATATTAAACCTTTAGCCTGATCCATTCATGAATTAATGAACACAGCATTAGGCTTAAGATTCAAGAATTTCATTAAAGCCCTTATTCCCTGGGGAAAATATTTCAGTTTGTTACCTGGCTGTTCTTTGCTTTTCATTTACTTTTGCATTTTGTAATAGCCCAGTTCTAGCAAATATATTCCAACTTTGATGCAAACTGGGCATTAGGTCACACTGTAATTGATTTTTTTTCTCATTCTACTACAATTATTAACAAATCCATTGGTAGTAATTTTTTATGGGGTTTAGTGTTGAAGGAAACCATAGACATTTCTTGTTTTGTTTTGCTTACCTTGTGGCAATTTTGAGAACTTCTGTTGCACAAGCAGCTGAAATGATCAGGAAAAAATTTTAAAAAAATTAAAAACATTGCACATAGAAAATTATCTCATTTTAAAAATTATGATTTTACAAGTAACAGGAATGTGGCTCATTTCCAGTATAAATTTTTTTTTTATTTCACAAAACATGAAAAATTCCAAGATGTTTTTAGTCTTTTGACAAGTTATTTTCAGCTCATTTATCCGATGGTACATATGAAATTATATCAGAAAATGAAAACATTTACATTCCTTATGCAGCTTAGTTAAAATTATTTATCAGATATGAGCCAGATCTATTCATTTAAATTGTAATCACTATTGTAAAAATGTTATACTTTATTTGCATATTAAAGCACATGCATTAATAAAGACCATTAAAAGTTAGAGAAAAACTAGAACTAAAGCTCCAGAAAATGAAAATGGTCCAAGATTTCCTATTTTTAAATAATCCATTAAAATAAAAATATTTAATGAAAGCGTTTTTATGAAAATATTATGCTCCCATAAAAAGACTTGTTGCCAGATAAAAGTGAATGCCAAAGAAAGGAAGAAAAAAAAAAGAAAAAATGAGTTACTCAGAAGCAAAATTTACAAAAAAATAAAACAAATATACATCTAAAATGGCAAGATGCATCAACTCTACATTGCAAAAACTCATCCAAACCTAAGAATTAATAAGGTAATATATAAATAAAAACTATTACATTTGTAAAAAGTCCGAAGCGGAGTTGTTCAATATGCGTTGTGACTAAAAATAATCATTGTTTTCAATTTTTTTTCATACTACTACTATAGATTAAGCACTCCAGATCACAAATATCAAATTATTTTTTAAAACTAAATTTTATAAAAGTTAATATGGAGGTTCAGTTTGCTATGTAAATTGATCTTCCTACAAAAGTCAAAATAAATACCCCTAACATTCAAAAGAACAGATTTTGAATTACCAATTTGTTTTTTGATTTTTTTTGCATTAAAAAAATAAATAAAAATAAAATTTAAATGTAAAAAATGAAAAAAAAAGAAAAATGGAAATTCATAATCTGTTCTTTTTTTTTTTTTTTTTTCAATTATCAGGTATAGCATAAATGCTGTGACAAAATTTTAAATGAATTCTACTTCTAAATTTTTCATCATTATATTGTTGTTTATGGTTTGATACTCACCCAACAACATATACTATTTGTTTTTTTGTTTTTTTAAGTGTTTTAGTATTAACTGGCAATAATGTCTATAGAAATTTAAAAAAAGTATATAATTGAGTTACATGAAAACGGACTGACTGCACCCGAGATTTTTAAAGCAGAAAAACAACATGGAATCAATAGAATGTTTATCAAAGAAGCAATTGATCAACACAACAAGACTTCCACCATCAAAGATAGACAGAGAACAGGATGTCATCACACCTCCAGAAAGCCAAAACTCAGACAGTTGCATGAAAAACATCAGGTGTACTCCAAGGTCAATGAGAAAATTGGCTAAGGAGGCCGGAACATAGGAGTGAACCATGCAGAGGTTATGTCAAAATGATCTATCAATGTCGCTCTACAAGATAACCAAGAGACAATTTCTTTCAGCAACCACAATGAAAAAAAGCTTCAAAGAATAAGCAGTTGCTGAAACAAATTTGTGATGGTACACTGCAAAACATCATCTTCACTGATGAGAAACTGTTCACTGTTGAGCAGACGTTTCATCATGAAATGATCATGTTCTTTCAACAAGTCATCAGTCAGTTGCTGCTGTTTCAGGAAAATGCCTTATAACCCAGAAACCAGCATCAGTTATGCTTTAGGCAGCCATTTGAGAAAGAGGAAAGTTTCCTCTTGTTTTCATGCCTTGAGAAGTAAAGATCAATATGGAACTGTACATAGAGGACAACAACCTCATTTAATTCCAAAAGATTAGAAAATATTACATTTCAGTAAAATTTAAAATTACAGTCAGTTTTGGAATGTCTAAAGATTCCACAAATCTAAAAAGATGAAAAGAAAAAAGATGAAAAGAAAAAAGATGCGCAAAAGCATCTCTAACCTGCAATAACAGCATTCGTGGATGCAACTGCAGGAATTATTCTTTTCACAACACCTGAATAAAAAAAAATTAAATGTAAACATTAGTGTTGAATTCTATTAAATCTGAATGAATGTCGCTAAATATTTGTCAAAAGATTAAGAGCTTTTTGGAAATGATATGACAAAACATTGTTGGATAGTTCAAGTACAAAAAGAAAAAAAAATAAATTAACAAAAAAAAAATCATTATTTTATGAGAAGTCAATTTATTAATCTCTTCTTTTAATAATTAACTCACTAGATTGTCTATTTTGTCATTTCAGTGGCACTTGAGTGTTTTCTTTCCTAAAATCAAGAAATATGAAATTTATTGAATATAAGATGTTTTATTCATTAGATTTATATTCTACAGTGGTATCTATTAACAAACATAGCATCATATAGCTTCTTTTTTTCATGCTTGAGTAAAGTATTCTTTTGCTAGTGAAATTAGGTTTTTGTTGAATAGTAAAAGGATTTACCTTGTGTGAGTCTGTAAGTAACACCAGTGATGCTATACACATTTGCACGAACTATGGCTTTATCATAAATCCACTGGATATGACTAGGGTCATCACCATCAATTGCCACATTTTCTAGAAACAAAATTTAGAATTCATTCAAGGCATCATGATCAAAAACTCTATGAATTTAATGAACCATCAAAAACATATCCTCTGAGTTTTGATGTTTCATATTATTGAAATATTTAAATGTGAAAAGTTTCATGAAATTTTTTTTACTTTTGTCATTAATATTTTCATAAATGATTTTAAAACTTCTTATAATGGTAGTAACTTTATTGATCTTCAGATATACTGAACTGGTTTGCTTAGTTTGAACTGTCAAAAAATAAAAATGGTTAATGATATCACAATACTATTTCGATATTCACTGAATTAAATTAACATATTTGATGACCCTCCCTACCTACCCCATTTAATATTATAGTATTTTTTGTTTTTTTTTTCTTAATCATATTTCAACCAAGCAAGTGACAATGCCACTAAGACACAAGGGGTAAATGAGTGTGAAAGAAGCTGAGAAAAAAAACACTATTAAGGAGAGAGGACAATAAAGAGCAGGTTTTTTGGACACAGAAGATAATGAATGACATTGCATTTAAATTTTTAAAGATCAAAGATGATTGGAAAGCAAGAAGCCAGAAGAGAGTTCCACAAATGAGAAAAGTGTGAGAGAAGAAACTATTAGCATAGAACTTACAGTTACATGAAACCATTTCAACTGTAAAATGCTGAGACCTTGCCACCAACCTAGTACTGTGCTTAAATTCATAGTCTAAGTACCATAGAGGAAAGTTCATCAGAACAATTACCATGAAAATAATTATAGAAAAAGCACAGGGAAGCTACATTATGGCAGTGGGAAAGTGATAGGTTAGGACTAATAACATTGCAGATTATTCTTTGGATTTTGTCAAGAATCTCTGAATACATAGCAGAGGCACCAGACCAGATGTGGCAGCAATATTCAAAGCATGGATGAATGTTAGATAAAGGTCAGATAAGATAGATTCATTTGAGAAAAATTGTCTAGCACGACACACTGAATCAACTTTTCTAACGCCAGACTGAGCAACTGACTCAATATGAAATAATAAGGTTAAGTACAAGTACTGATGGTCTATAGTGTCTGGGTAAACATTAACTGATTAGATTACTCAACTTCAACCTAGGAGATTTTTTGAGACATTTTTTTAAAAATTTGGGTGTCTTATGTGTCATCAAATAGTACTTGCCAACTTGTAAGAGTTATATTTTTCTTTTAAATTTATTTTTCTGTCATGCCTAAAAACATGGGACAAAGAAACTTTTAAGTTAAATAAGTATTTACTTGGATTGATATAATTGATTTTTCATATAAGCTATATATTGTAAATATGTGGAAAAATTCAATATTCAAACTTACAAGATTAAGTCTTGTCAGTTCTACAAATAAAAATACAGTCAAAAATAACTTCTAGTTACTAGAAATTCATTTTGCCAATGAGAAAGATAAACATTGAGGATTTTAGAGAATAACCATAACCAGTGCACATTCAGTTAAATTGAAGAAACAAGCAACTTACCACCAAAAGGGTGTTCCTTAGGCCACATTAAAATGCGTACATATTCTATACAATGTTCCGGAAGGCGTGGAGTGTGTGCAATTGTACACAGTGGGAAGTTAATCTATCCAAAAGAAAAGCACTTAAACTGAGAACAGGAAAAATTAATTCTTCTAAAATTTCCAGTATTTTTCTATTTTTATGAATTATGCCAATAATTATTCATTGGAGAACTATTGTAATGGTTAGCTGTTTCCTTATAAGGAAATTGCATTCATTCATTCATTCATTCATTGAGCAGCCAGTGCTACTTTCGGTGAAAATTTATAAAATCTTTCTATTAAAACAATTTTTCTGGAAAATAGGTTTCTCAAGTCAACTGTTTTCGCTCTTTCCAGTATTCAAGTTTCCTTCCTAACCTTTAGCTTGTAGTTGTGTTGAATGTCAACATTTTCATTATTTCATTTTTTTATTTGAGCTACATATTCTATCCATTTTAGTCGTTGTTGAAAGTCCTCAAGTGATATGGTTTCTGTTATCTGATACATTCCTTTGTAGTTCTGTAACACCAGTCCACAAGGTTCAAAGATGGACAGCCCCTGCTAAGACCTACAAGCTTCATTCACTCAAACCAATTTTTAACCATTGATCTGAGAAAGCAGCAGTATACAGCTGACAGTTTAGATATTTCTGAATGGATCTGGTGCCATGTATGGCAATCATATGAAATTCTTAATCTGATGAAGCTATTTAAAAACAACTCGTGTTTTTAGGTTAATGTTTTGGCTTTGTAGCATATAGTCTTGTATATAAACCTGAGATCGGTGATGTGAAATAATAGTTAACAAGCTAAATTACTTTATAGTAAGAACCATTCTCAATGGATACCCCACATTTTTGGGCATGTTCTGATTAAGCTAAGCTTACTAAAAGGACAGAGGAAGAGTAATCAGGAGGATAGTGGATAGCAATTGACATTGCATTCAAACTTTTGCAGATTAAATTTGGCTGGAAAGCATGGAGCAGGGTAAAGATCAATACACACACAACTTAGTTTTACATATATTCACACTTACACAATTCTATAGAGATATACAAAACCTTTTATTGTTCTGTCAACTTTATAATATAGCTTTCTGAACTGGAAATAAACTATGTATATAAAAAGTTACCTTTAAAAAATCTACTCATTCAAGTCAGCTATACAGATTTGCTCTTTAAAAAAGTAAAAGTGAATTGTTTTTTGGTCATATTGCTTCTTTTTTGTATCCTACTAGAGTGAAGAAGGCAAAACAAAATGCAATACTTTTATTGACCAAATTCATTCTTAAAAAATTGAATTATTTGCATACAAAATAATTTTGATGACAGCCAATAATAAACTGATAATAAAATTCAAAATTGCTATAATCATTCATTAATGCTCAATTTAGTTTCTAAAAAGAAAAAAGAAAGTAGGACACAGAATTATGATGAAATGCTTAAGTCATAAAAGTAACATTTTGGAAAATATATGGCAAATTATCTTCACATATATTAAGCAAATCTATTGCAGAAGACTTTAAAAAAAAAAAAAAAGTTACTCAAACACTTTTGAAATGTCTTCAACTGTAATTTATTCAAAATATTTCTAATATTCATAAGCTACTTTCATCCAGTTTACCTAAGAAAAAAAGTTTGTTAACAAAAAATTAGTATAAGGATTTACAAGTTTCTTGTTAATATTTTAATAAAAGGCGCACATAACAGCTTACATAGTTAAAATTATCAATTGCTACAAAGATATTTCTTCACCAAAGCTGTTGTGCAAAAGTTAATGTTTCTGTGTACATTTAAAACATTTAAAGTTTCAGGTTTGTTTTACTCACAAATTATACAAAATTAGTGTAAGGCATCAGTGGTAAAAAAATACTTTAAAAAAGGTAAACAGTCATAAAAGAAATATTTCTATTATGCTTAATTTTAGATAACATTGATAGATTTGATTCCAAACAAGCTAAAGTTGAATTAACAACTATAACAAGATATTTATTGATTATTTTTTGGTTAATTTAAAATTCAACAACAAAAAACTTTGCTTTTGTGGATTTTTTTTACCATAAAATATTTTTTGGAGATCCTACTGACAATTTAACTCACCTGAGGTGGGTAGAGATCAAGTGTGCACTCTATGCAAGCTGTGATACCTGGAGTAATAACTCTGGCATTGCCTTTAAAACCTTCTGTACCACCATCCACCATTGGAATAACTGAAGCTTGATCAAGAATACCATCTTCATAATTTAACAAATTGACCTGAAAATTTAAGTAGTTAATATCAAACTTGAAATTATTTATGCTGTTACACATACAAGAAACTCACTATAAGAACTAAATAATAAATCTTTTAAGTAATATATTTATGACTTATACCAAGATAATATATTAATATCTATGAAAAAAATTAATCACTTTTAAGAGAAATGATAAAGGTAACTTAAAAAAGACTCAATATCTGATTAACCTTTTAAGGGTGATTTTCTTAATATTTCAATGCTTATTCAACGTTGAAATATTAACAAAACCACCCACAGTTCATTAATATTGATTATTGAGAAGCATACTTATTAATTATTTATCTCTATATTCATGTCTGAAATAATACCTATCACACTTAAGTAATGTTCAAAACAATGTCTAATGAAATACCAATCAGACTGCTTGCTTGGAGTAGCTGCTTTACCAATTAGGCTATGAATACTAAGTTGCTGCAGAATCTCAATTCTCATCATATAGTTTTTTTAGTCTTTATCTCCTCACTCCACCAGAAACCTCATATGCTGACATATTTTTTTTTACATCCACTAAAAATATTAGTTCTAATATTATTTGAATTTCTTAGATGAAGCATTATTAATCGTTATTAATTCATAATAATAACTGATATCATAATTAATAATCAGCACTCAAATATTATTAATTAGTAACAACTGATTGTGCTTCATCTAAGAAATTCAAGGTTAAGTTATTTTTGTTTAGCTTGTGGGTTATTTAATTCTAAGGCCCCTTTTGTATGCGTAAAAATTACATTTAAGGTTCAGCAGTATGTATTGGGGTGATTTGGTATATTGGTTTAGTTTGAGAACAGATGGTTTGAAGAGGATTTGTTATAGAATTTTTGTTTTTTGAAATTGTACTAAGATATTTTTGCATAATTTCTTTTAAGTATTGAATTATACTACTTTGGTTGGTACTGTTGAATAGATCATTTAAGCTGTCTGGTGATAATTTAACCAAATTGAAATGAAATCACTGCAGTTCATTAATATATATTTTGTGGTGTAAAGCTCTTGATATGAGGTGGGAAAATCTGGTATGGTGGACTGTCTGGATGTGAAAGTGTTCATTCTACTCTCTTTGGGATAAATTCAACTAATTGACAGCTTCATTGGAGAGAAGAAGAAGCTAATGGAGGCAGCACATATCAGCCTGTCAACTTGGTGTGTGAGTCAAGCAAGCACAGATGTGGTTTTCTTTGCTTAGTAAAGTGGGTGTTGGGAAGCTCTTCTTGGTGTAGCTTGGAATTACCTGGACATTTAGTGTACATGACACAGTGAAAATAAACTTGTCTAGTTGGTATATTAATGAAGAATTTCTATTGACTATAGGATTTTGGAGTGAGTTTGTTTTGTTTAACAGCATATCAACTCCTTATGGGTCACTGAAATTTAATATTTAATACTGAAATTTTATTTTCTTGGAAGCATTAGTAATTTCTTTTACAAAAATATATTGCTAGTATTATCTTTTTTTTATATAAAAATGTATTACTGGTAATATTTGTTTCCTTTTTATTTTTTTAAAGTGTATTGCTGATGCTATTTTTTTCTTTACAAAAATGTATTGCTGGCACTTCTACTACAAAAATGTATTTTTATACTTTCATAGTGTTTTGACTCCAGTCTGTGGGTTAACTATTTGCCTATAACTTGGACCATAATAGGTGCTACCACCCCGAGTCAGGGTGAACCTGGAACAACAGCAATTACGAGGTGGTTCCACACTCCTCAAAACCTCCTGATCAGAGGCCTTGCTACTGGATGTAATTTATAGTCATACCCAGGACAGCTTTTGGAGTTAAAAGGTCTCCAATTTCTCATGGATTACACCTGACAAGGTTGAAGAAAGGATCAGTCAAAAATGGTGTGTTAACAACAATAAATATCAAAGTGTCTTAAAAATGTTGGCTATATATATATATATATATACACACACACACAAATTATAAGTGCTACTGAGCTTATATCTTTTATATCAAAATTTGAATCACTGAGAAAATAGAAGTTATTATAATTAAATAAGAATCCTTTATTAACAAGTTTTGTTGTTTTATATCAGTCCCATGGCATAAAAACAATAGACAAATTTCATTTGAATAATCTTTTGCTTATCATAGATATATTACAAAACTGAAAAATTACCAAATTAAAAAATCAAATAGATTCAGCCTAACAATGATGAATTACATGATTCAGGAATCTTGAATTTATCAAATAGAGACTGAAAGTAAGATTAAGACAGAAGGCAAGCAAATATAAAAAAAATAAACAGTATTCTCTTGATCTAATAGAATCCGAATGGAAGAAGAAATGACTTCTCTCAAACCTGCATCTAAATAGACATAAAAATGCCCCTTTATCTACCAATACAGACCATCAGTCATTTTTTAAACATTCACATACAGAACATGGGTACGACCATTATTTCCCTATAACTGATTAAAAAAGAAAACCAAGTACATGGATCCATTTTGTCATACTGATCTACAGATATCCTGGTAATATAAAGCAAGCAATTTTCATTCAATTATGAAATAAAATTTTCTTCAGTTTGTGCTCAGGTAAGATGTGCATACTTGTATAAGCACAAGTTATATGCCTTTATGAACCCATAATACCAAACAAACTGTAAATAAAAAATATTAAAACAAAGAGGATTACATGTCTTAAGACTTCAACTAATTTAATCTGATCCTAAATAATAAATAAAGTCCAAGGAAGACTGATTTGATATTTTTAATTTTAGTTGTTTTAAGGAAATTCAAATCTTCAAATAAGAAGTAAATGAATATTATGAAAGTAGATCTATGATTATATTAAAAGAACAATGAAAGAAATATTTAAGAAAGCAAAAACTTCTGTAGTAAGTCAGAGACTTGAAGTTTCTCATGAAATTCACTGCCTTCAGCAAACAATGTGCTGGCTACAACTCAAATGTGATTTTTTTCAAACAATTATTACATAATTGCAATATGTTAGATTTTATTCTTATTATACTGTCATTATAACAAAACTAGTGTTAACCAACCAATGCTGATAAAATTTCCAAAATATATGATATATTTATTAGATAAATTTATGGCGAATATACCCTAGGATTTTCAACCTGTTTTTATTAGAAATATTTACAACTTATTTTATGCTGTTATTAAACAATATAAGTCCTAAAACGATATAATCTCAAAAGAGAAACAATATATTGTAAAAACGTTGCAAAAATATTTTAGAAAAATTAAAAAAGGCAAGAAAAGTCAATTGGCCTGCAAGAAAATATTTGAAGAATCTGATGTTGTAAATGCAAACAAAGAGAAAAGATGCAGAATATGAAGAATACTTGTTAAAGACATGAAAGCAACTAAACGACGACTTTTAAGGAAACATCACAAAGAGAAACATGTAAGTTGGGTAAAAAAGTACAAGAAAGTTAATTTCTCAACAATAATTTTAGTGATGACTATAGAACTACATTGGATAGGCCTGATGGCTGCACAAGTGTTTAGATCTTTTAAAGAAATAGTCAAAGAAATAGTCGATGATGCTATCAAAATAAATGCAGAAAATTAAGTTCTTGGACAACAAGACCTTTTTTCATTTTTTTTAAAAAGAGTGGTACATGTTACAACCAAAAATCTTCAAGCTAAAGTGTATATTAATGAAAGAGAATGTTCCTTCACATTCTACAAAGCTGACTTGCTCACCTTGACAAAAAATAGGTTTCAAAGACACCACATTGGTGAAATAGTCCTAGCCTCCCTAGATATTAAATTCAATAAAAAAAATTGTGGTCCATCATTAAAAGAAATCTATATCAGAATAGAAAACAATATTCAGGTAAAGAAGATATCTAGGAAATAATAAAAACCACTGCAAGTAATGTTTATGTCAAATCAACAAGAAAGTTAGCAAAATAAATGGTTGAAAGACTAATGAAGTTTATAAAATGCAAAGAGATCACATTTACATGTGAAATAATTTTATTCAAATATAAAGGATATTGTGTTACTCAAATACAAGTTTAGGTAAAACAAATAGTCAGTCAGTCAGTTATGTGCCATGCGGAATACACTCTTAGGCGATCATATATCTTTCGATACCTGACTGACGAGGCAGATTTTTTTCCTCCGCAGTAGGTTGCCATTTCTTTCTGTGATAGATCAGTTGCCATCCAAGGCTATAGAACCCAGTCTGTCCTGCTATTTACTCATAGCTGAGGGGAGAAGAGGATTCATACCTTTCCCAAGAGTATTAGCATGTAAGTGAATGTAATAGATTCAACTGGAATTTGAACTCGGCTCTCCGATTCCTCAATCCGAGCCATTACCCTGCCGTGCCTCCTAAAATTTAATTTTAAAAGTATTATTCATAATTGTTTTTTCTTGTTTGCTTTTTTTTTTTTAGTTATAAACTATAAAATGTCTAAAAGCCCAGAAAAAAATTTGTGGAATTACCTTTTCTTACCCATAATCCTTTCAAGATGGTTATGTCTCTTGACAAACACATAAAGCATGGATCTGTCACAGAATCCCTGCTTTTGGAAGCAGAAAGTGCTGTAAACATTTACAGGATGTTAAAGAATGTTTATGGAAAGGTACTACTTGATGTAAGCACAGTAAAAAGATAATGGCAATCCTAGAGAGAAAAAAGGAACTGACCCGAGTGACAGATCCCACTATGGCAGGCCAGCTGCTACTGCCATTGAGGATAATGTGAATGAGATAGATGTTTTCATTATAGCTGATAGAAGAATCAGCATTGAAAAACTGAAATCCTTGAGGTGAGCCATGGTAGTGCCTGTAGTTTAGTGCAGTCTCTAGGCCATTCATAGCATGAAGGGTGATGGCATTTCAAGAGATTCTTAACTGCACAATACAGTACCTTCCTAAGCATGATTCACAAGAGATTAGATCTTGATTCATCATCAAAAAAGAAAAGGAAAAGAACAACAAAGTGGTACCATCCTGATTCATTCAGAAAGAAGTTTCAGGCAGCAGCATGCTCCACAAGGAAAGTGATGGCCACTGTGTTTTGGGACCAGGAGAGAATATTACCAATGGCATCTCTATAAATTGTGACTCCTACATGAACATGTCAAAGCTCCAAGCAAGGATTCTTTGACCTAGTCCACATTTGAAAATAAGTTATATACTTTTGTGACTTGAAGACTTTACAACAGCTTAAAGATCAGACAAGCAATCATGTTGCATAACCTTGCCTTATTCACCCTACAATCCAAACATGACATCAACTTTCATCTGTTTGGACCTATGAAGGAGAAACACAGAGGATAATGGTTCTCTAATGATGATAAGGTGAAAGAAGCAACTCTTACATGGCTAAGAAAACAATCAAGAAGCTTCTATGAGGTGGGTAAGCTGGATTTCATCCAAAGGTGGAATACCATAATTAAAAATGAAGGAGATAATGTTGTGGGCTAGATTTGAAATTTTGACACATTTGCATTCATCTTAGTATATTTTGTGTTCTTCTATTATTAAATCTGTTGTAATTAAAGATGAACAGACATTACTTTCTAACCATATTTATAAACAAAAAAGTTATATTGCACTTCATGTGTAAAACAAAAAAAAAAGTTATGAATATTTTTAAATAAAGATAGTTAAGCTTAAACTCATATTGCTCATTTAAAATATATCTTGAAAATTAACATCAGTTGGTTAACATCAATCTCATTATGAAAACAGTGACATGCATAATATGACAATGTAGTAAAAGCAACACAAAAATAAACATTAAAAAGTAATAGTTGTATAAATTATTAAATCATTTACTTTTTTCAATTTTTTAAAGTGCATGTTAAACAAGTTGAATTTCTTTATAGTATTTTGTTCTTGTATAATTCTACTAAGTTGCTTAGTTATTTCAGATTATATAGGTCAACAGGTATGCATGCATGCACACATAAGTGACCCCACTTTATATAATGTAAGAGTCAACTTGAGATAAATATGATCTCCGCCAAGTTGTTGCTAAGAAGAGCTATTTATGCCAAAGGGTATTTATCTACATCTGTTAACAATATATTGAAGACAGAGAGGCACTGTATTGAAACACTCTACCATATTACTCTATTAGAAATAATTCTGTTATTAAAATAAAGCAGAAACTATTTAATTTAAACAAGCTGAGATTATTTTGTATATGCATCAATTCTATCTTAAATCTTATAATGTAAATTGTTTCAAATTTGTCAAAATGTTAATTAACAAGAAATAAGTAGATACATTGAGCAAAGGTGCAAGTCAGAAATGCAATAATTACTTGGCTTCAAACTATTGTATGTAATTTTTGCTACCATTTGATGACAAAGGATTACAGCTTCTTTTGCTGTTATTGCTAAGTAATTATGGAAGAATGGTGTGCCAAAGTACCCACTCTCCCATTTCCTTCTACAAACTATTGAGGTATACCATTGATGAGATGTTTTTCTAAGATATCTTGTCAGGAGGCAGAATGCAGAGAAAAGTGGATCCATTCCTTTCCCAAGGTCATTAATGGGAATGAGCATAATCAGCTTCAACTAAAATTAGAATTACCAGTTCCATTTTCTACACTGGTAATGGTTATTTCATCTTAATAATTACATGTTAATGATATAAACATCAACTGTTTTTAATTACAAAGGAAAATTTACTAAAGATAAAAAGTATATGGTTTCATCACAAATAAAAAAAAATGTTCAAATAGGATATACTTTGAGACAAAAGTCTTTGAAAAATAAATACTAATTTTTAAAAGATTGTTTTTTCAATTTCATTAAAAAAATTCTTACAATCTAAGAATATTTTCTGGCTTTAAATAACCTGAAAAGGGTTGATAAATCATAGAAAATGAATGAATCAATTAATTTTAGTTTTGAATAAAGTTTTATTTAAATTATTGTTTTCCATATAAAAACAAACAAGAAACTCAAATATAATGTGTAATCCACTTGTTAAAAAAAGTTAACTTCAAAAATCTTACCACATTTATCAGCAAAATTTTGTAAAAATCCAAGTTAAATTGTGGTCACACAATAGACTGGATGAGCTGCAATAGTGTGCTTTTACAAGCTTATGATGGCATCATTTGATAGCAGAGAGCCAAATAGAGAGAAAAAAAAAACAAGTCTTACCAACATTCTGTTCATCCATCGGCGGGCAACAATTGAATCTAAGCCACAGACCACCATATGGAACTCTACAAGAAAAAATGTTTAAGTACCAACTGCAAAGATTTTATTTGGTTATTTGCCAGCATCAAAGTACAAAAAGTAAAATAGAATTTATATAAGAATATAAGAAATAGCCAGCTACTCTTATATTTTCCGAGCACACCTGTCTGCTAAGGCGGCTAGCCAATCCCTGTCACAGAGCTGATTCTCTATCTGCGGGTAGCTTTGCATGCACGTGTATAATGTATATGTGTAGGTCTGAGTTGCGCATGAGTGAGTTACAGGTTCTTCTGCCATTTAATGTATACACACGCACACACAAATTTACTGAGTTTGAAATAAGACATTGGAATGATAGATTTCCCTCCCACTCAATCTGGACAAGACTTACTCTGGACTCAGCAATAAAATCATAAATTTGGAAGTGGGGAGAAGAAAGAAAATAATTATAAATTTTTACTGAACTTTTTGGAAATTATTCTATAATAAACAGAATTATTTTTAAAGATTTTTTAATTTTGTAGTAATATTTCAAGGTCTGTTATTAAATTGAAATATACATATGCAAGTGTATATATACACACAATTTGAATGAAATTGAAATGCACATCTATGTCACAAAGGCTAATTTCTCTGTATGGCAACAAGCCTTGGTAACCGGAAAAGAGTGTAAACTGAAATGTGCAGCCTTTTTAAAATTTAGATTTGAAATGTAATCATTTTGCTGTCAGCAAAGAAACTGTTACCAAGCTGATAATAGCTAAAGGATTAAAAATGTATAGATGTCTTTCAGTAAGAGAGAAGAATAGGTTGAATCAACAATTCTCTCACTAACATATAGCAACACCTAACAAGTCATTATGATGATAATCATGTGTAAAATATGTGAACCTTTTTTGTCCATGTATTTTATGCTAAATTTAAAGAAAATAAAGAAATTGAATGAAAGGAAATGAACAAAAAAAAAAAACAAAAAAAAACAAAACAACTTTTGTACATTATTCCATACTCATTTAAAGACCACCAAAGTGTGACATTGAACTTGATGTCAATCATCAGAGCCGTTTCGATTTGAAGACAGTGCAAATCAGTTTCCAATTATGTTCATTTGCTCAGGTTCATTTGTTTGTCCAATATCTATTGAACCAACCTGTATTTCATATTGCAACTATGCTGAGCAGACCCTAGTTACAGTTTCTGGGAGAGATCACATAATCTGGCATGGTCAACAGTTTGAACCAGGCCAGTATGCTCAAACCCTCAGTAACAATGTCTTGTGACTTTGTACTGGCACAACCATCAACAGCTTCCAAGCAGTTTTGTCTACCCAATTTCCACTCAAAAGGCTTGGGTCAACCTGTGGTTTGGTTTTCAGGCACTTTCCAGAGTTGTGACATACTGGGATTGTCTTCCCAAACTGATAAAATCAAAAAGTAAACTTACTGACAAATCAAACATGATGAGATTTGATTTGTCAGGAAGTTCACACACACACACACACATATATATATATATATATATATATATATATATATATATATATATATATTATCCCTCAAGTATATCTATTAATATATACTTAATAGTTCTGTTGTATTACATCGAGCACTATTTCATTGACGCTAGCACTATATGTGACACACATATATATATATATATATATATATATAATAAATATATGAACATGAACTTAAAATTTCATGAGGTTTCATTAGGGTCTTAAAAAAGGCTCCAATTCATCAGACCTTCAAATCTAAAAGGAAACAGAAAACATTTCTCCATGTTTAAAAAAATTTATGTAAAAAAAAAAAAAAAAAGAAAAAAATTTGTGTAAAAAGTAGTTTACTTTTGTGGGGAGATAATTTTCTCCACATTATTGATGCAAAGGTAACTAATCTTTAGTGTCTTCCTATTGAATATTTTATTTAGTGGATGTTTACTATCATATATATATATATATATATATATATATATATATATACACACGATTGACAGATTTCTGTGTTGATCAATAAGTTCATAGCCTGAGAGTTTTAACTAAATTCTGATCTGAAATTTATAATGTAAAATCTATGATATAAATGGAAAACCATTAGGCTAAGTGCACTAATGAGCAAGATGATTCTGAAAAGTAAATTTTATATAAAATAAATGCTTTTTTATGCGACTATGGACTTATTCAGACAGAGACATACACACACGCATATATTTATTCAAAAATTATAACAAATATGTTATAAAATTGCTACAAAAATAGCCATTTTGTTTCAACACCTTTGCTGTCTTATCAAGTCACGATGTTGAATGTAGAATAAAGGGTTTTAAAAAGTTCAAATCAATTAACCACCCCTAAGAATAGTTATTGTTGGTTAATGGAATTTATTCCATATACACCAATCCTATACTTGGAGATATATATATATATATATATATATATATATATATATATATATATATATATGTGTGTGTGTGTGTGTATGTATATGTTTCATTAAAGATAAATGGACAAGGTACTGCAATTAGGCTTTTTATTTAATTTTTCTTGTGTTTTCTTTTCTGGACAAAGAGATTGTATAAACTGTCCAAATATTCTGTAATTCCAAGTGCTTTCAGCTATATTTTTAACCATTATCAAGGATGATTTTATTTTTGCTTTTAAATTGGGTTCTGTGTATGATTCTAGAGTTATAAGTATGTTTTATTTTCTGAACACAGTTAGCACATTGTGGCCATATTCGTACTTAATATTATTGAGTGTTGGCTTTTTTCTTTTTTATTAAGGCTTCCATTATTTTTAATCTTTTTTTACAAGTGAATGAGGTTATTAAGTGTGCATTTTCTACGAGTATATTTTGGATGGAGTCTGGTAAGTTTGTGTCTAAATTGGTTCTAATAGAGCTGTGGTTGGATAAGTGTAATGTAATGTGTCTGGATAGGCATGTAATAGTGCGACTGATGTAATTATTTATGAATTTGGTTTGATCGGGAACACATTTTCTTAAGGAACTCATAAATTAATGTTCATTTGTTGTAATTTTGATTTTGCTGGTGTATTGTTATTTTTGAGGATAAGGTTAACTGTTTAAAATTTTTTGTAGTAGATAATTAATTTGATTTTTTGTTCAGTTTAATTAGGATTTGTCTTTCTTTATGATATTTCAAGATTTGATAAGTGAAGATTCATCTTGTTTGTAGTTGATGTGCATTTGGCTTTGGTAGAAAATATTTGTTATTTTTGTATGTATGTTTACTATCATTAGTATTTACTTTGTGAGTATTCTAATTTGGCAGTCTATAATGTGGTTAGGGAAGCCATTGTTAACTAGTGTCTGTTTTGCATTATTTAGTTCTTTAAGGAAGAGTAGTTGAGAGGATGAATTCTGGTGTGCTCTTTTTAGGAAGTTTTTATTGCTATTTTGTATCTGAGTGGGCATTTGCTCAAAGTTACAGTGGCAAAAGCTTCTGCTAGTGGCTTTTTTATACAATGAGGTGGTAAAAGTGTTGTTACTATATTCTATGAGAACATTTAAGAATGGGACATTTCTTTTTTTTTGACTAAGTTCGTAGGTAAAGTTAAAAGACAGTTTTTTCAAATGTGGTGTGTGTGTATACACTGCATGCCAAATTATTATTGAGATAACTTTTTTTTCTAATATTTCAAAAACCATCCAATCAATTCACACAAAATTTTCACACATTGTTGGGAACACTGAGCTGCGCAATCACTGAAATTTTTGTACTGATCTGCTCAATGTAAATAAACTAGCACCATATTTGTTATCAACATGGTGATTTGAGCGTGCCAAATTATTAAAAAGGTTTAGTAAAATTCACAGAATTGAGCAAACAAAACGTTTATTAATGTTGAACATGAATGTCTATGATCAAAAGAAGCTAATAAATAAGATAATCAAACAAATAATAACAGATACAAACAAAGGCAAAATTTTAAACAAATTAATAGGGAATGTGCTTTCACTGTTTTGAAATTAGTTGAAAAAGTCGATGATCCATAGAATTTGTTAATTGTAGGATGTCATCTGCTGTAATGCCGCGAGATATGTCAAGAATTGCTTCCCACGACTCGGTGTTGCTCCTGAATTGTCGTCTTTGCTTCATGATGCTCCAAAGGTTTTCGATTGGGTTCTAATCCGGAGAATTTGCTGGCTACTTCATTGTTCGAGGTCCATCGAAGCCTGTTTCAAATATTCAGCAACGTGTGAGGGAGCATTATCTTGCATAAAAAAACAATGGCCCTTCTGAAGGCAACTCTTTGCCTTTTCATCCACAGTTCAAGATGCTTTTTTCATAAATGCTATGTATGCATCAGCAGTCATTTTGACGCCATCTGGTACTCTCCATGGGCCCACTAATGTGTTTCCAATAATACCACCCCAGTTCCTTATGCCTCCCTGCCTTCATATTGTCCTCGGCCCATTTCAATCGATTTTGAATGTGATTTCTCGTCAAAGGAGACTTCGATACAGGTTTGACTGTCGTTGCTATTTCCCTCAGATACCGACACCAAGTACTTTTAGACACAGTAGGATCCCCCAATACGGCTAAAAAGTTCTTGACTGGTTAGTCCAGGGTTCTTCATGGCCTCTTGTTTAAGTCGTGACATGAGACAACTGGAAATAACCCTCGGCTTGCCTTTATATGCCTTTTTGCGTACTTGTGTATGGTCGGCGGTGAATTTTTCACTGTTTGATGACACTTCCCTATCATTTTAAAAATTTCTAGGGTAGATTTACCTCTTGAGAGTTCTGAGGTAATAGTTTTCTTTTAAGCATCACTTAAACTGCTTTTACGGCCCATCTTTTCACTAAATTCTTATACTTTTCTAATAATTTGGCACGCTCAAAATCACCGTGCTGATAACAAATATGGCGCCAGTTTGTTTACATTGTGCAGATCAGTACGAAAATTTCAGTGATTACGCAGCTCAGTGTTCCCAACATTGTGTGAAAATTGTGTGTGAATTGATTTGACGGTTTTTGAAATATCAGAAAAAAAGTTATCTCGATAATAATTTGGCATGCAGTGTATATATATCCACACACACACACATCTCTCTATTATATATATATATATATATATATATATATATATATATATATATATCACACACACACTTTTTTAAGCATAACAATGATGTTATTTAAAAAACACAAATTATATTTTAATAAAGTGATGCATTTTTCTTTGCTTGTAATATGCCTGACTTAAAGCAAAGATTTTTTGATAAAGATAAATATTTATTTTTAATGTTCAGTCAATGAGTAAATGTTTGCAATATAAAAATGGAGTTTATAAAGTTATGAACTTAGAAAAAAAACCAAAAACAGTAAGGTTTTTCCATTTAATAAATTACAAAATCTTTCAACACACTTGTGATACTGAGGCTGTGAAGTGGTTAAATGTTAATTCTGAGCAGAAAAGGGTTAAGCTCAAAATGTAATGAAAGCTGGAAGAGAGAGAGTGGAGACATTTTTCCTTGGTGAAAATGGGACCACCTAGATTTCTTCTCTCTTAAACTTTATTTTTTTATCTATTGATAGTCTGGCATGCAGACAAAAACAGATTTAGTGAAATGATTTTGTCTCTTCCTTGAGGAATTAAGAAAACATCATTAATGAGAGGAGAGACAGATGGGGCTTATTCTTGAAATACATTTATAAAATGCAATATTTTTGTTGATGAAAACAAATTGAGAAATTTAAACAAGAACAAACCCATTGTAAGGGTCAAAGTTATGAAAATCAATCCTGTCTTTGACAAGCAGGTGATCTGGTTTATATTTTGGCTAACAGAGATCAGTCCAGGAATGGATAAACAATTTTATCTCTTCCTTGAGAATTTAGGCAAACAAATATCATCAATGAGGAGAGAGACAGATGGGGCTTTTCATTGATGAAAATGAATTGGGAAATGTAAGCAAGGAACAAACCCTTTTTGAGGGTCGAAGTTATGAAAACAGATCCTATAGTTGCCGAGCAGGTGATCTGGTTTATGTTTTCACTAGACATAAATATAAAAAACAAGAGAGTTAAAATTAATGACTAGAATAAACTACACCCATTCACTCACATGATTTAAACATTAGATTTGTCACAAAGACAGTTATGTCTGCCCCTGGAGGTAGGCTGCGGTGGAATGCTGAGAAGGAAGGAGGAGAATTTTGCACTACCTGTGTGGAGTGGTGGTGCGAGATGTGAAGTGAAATAGAGTTTAGGGGAGGAGAAATCCCTGTAACTACTCCCAAGAAGGTGGATAATTCTCCAAATTTGGAAAGTTAATTAAGAAAGCAGAAATAGGTAACAAAGAACTCTTATTGAGATTAATGTAGAAATTGAAGAATCAATTAATCCAAAGAGCCATTTGGCCCCATGCCAGTTTTAGGCTGAAGTGCATATAAACAGATAGCTTTGAGAGCTCGAAGAATTGGGCTGAGAATTCCAAATCAAGTGCCTCTGGAATCCACATCAGCTGCTACCAATTTCCTGATTCTCAAGGACTTTAAATTCAAAACTTTAGACAAGATCCAGTGTCACTATAGAGATTGATGTGGGAAGGGTTAATTTTTGTTGTATGAAAAACTATATATATCCCTGAAATAATAATAATGATAATAAAGGAGGACATGCTGTAAAACAGAAAACGCCAAGTGAAAGAGGAGTTTTCGAATAACCAAGATGTTAAAATGCTGTAAAGACTTTGAAATGTTAAATGTTACAGAAAGTTTATTTAAAAGACAAAATACAATCTTTTTGTAAGTGTATAAAGGATATCAGATTACTAATAGAAAATTACTGGAGCAATAATAATTTGGAACTTTTAAACAAAGAAATGGATATTGACACTATAAGTTGAGGATGTTTTGATCTAGAATTTATTTTTAAAACAAGAATCTCTGTAGTTCACAAAGAGCGGCAGAATAATTAATAGCGTGGTGATAAACAATAGCATCTTGCTGTGAACTTTGGAAACCAATCGATGAAAAAGTAAATTGTTTATTCTCGGAGGAGTAAAGTTGTACTTTGACAGTATGTCAGTATATTCGCACTAGAAAATACAGATATGCCACTAGTCTGGGATATGTGAGGCCAGTTCTCTTAATATAGAGGCAAGCCAACTGGAGGAGGTGGGGAGCTTTTGGGTTCGTCTATCTTCAAATGCAGTCAAACTAAGTGGATAGACGTCAGAGATTGAATAGGAAGCGTCCGCCGTGTGTTGCTGAAGATGAGGGCGAACAAGCGAAATACTGCCACTAGCATCTAAGTACTGCTACTCTTGCTACTACTAATACTACTACTGAGAACGGGAACATCGAAGGTTGTAGTAGTTGTGCTAAGAACAGATAAAAAGGGTTAAAACGAAGGCCACGTCTCTCCTTACTGAAATTATTCGAAGTATTTGTTTGGTTATTGTTCACATACAAGTAACATTCAACCTTGTGCAACAAGAATTATTTTTTCATGTGTTTGATTCTATATATAAACAAAAAACTTTTGTTCTTTCAAAATTGAATAAACTTGGTTATATTTATTCTCTGTTAACCCGATTTTCACCTGACGAACTTGCAGGTGGACCAACGGAAAGCTTCCAGATTTCTATGATCTGATGACCACTCTCCAGGATCAAAACAATCACAACATGGCTGGAGGGTGGCTTCGAAGTGACATTTGAAACCAGAGACTTGTGTTTAAGCTGTAATACTGGACCATACCAGACCAATGACCAGTCTTGTAGAGTGTGTGGGTCCAGTGGGGGTGACGATACAGTGCTACATATAAACCAAGTGAAGGTTAACCCAATGAATCTTTTGTTTTTATTTTTTCATTGTGAAGATATCGCTTGTCTTAATGCAGCACCTGCAATGGCTTGAACTAGTGCTGCAATTACTATGGCATTCTAGCTTCCACTGCTCTAAGATCAAGAACAAAACATGAGCAGATTTAGAGTGAATCGAAGCAGTCAACAATTAACAATTAGCATTGCCCAGCATACAGTTAACCCTGTGGTTAGAACATCATTCTAAAACCCTGTGGACTGGACGACTAAACATGGTTACAAAACTGGAGGAATGAGGTGGTAAAAGGGGTTATACACTGACTGCCAGATGTCAATTATGAACAATAATAGCCAAATTAGGCAACAAAAGATTTTATCAGTTGATTTATAGCTTCAACTAATGTCTTAACATTGTTTTCACACTAAAAGTATCACTACAAATAAACTTGTTGCTGGTACCCATAGATGAAAATGAATCAGAAAATGCCAGATGCAAGATAACTCATAGTCAGTGTCATAATAAAAACTGCCAATCATGAGTTAGCTTGTGGTTGGTAGTCAATGTATTAATTATACTTTTTCTAAATATAGAAGTAATAATTTCTACTTTTTTTTAATTGATTATAACAGTAAAATTATAACCTTCCAGATTCAAAGATGTAAGATTATTTCATTCTAAATATACCAGAAAAAATAATTTAAGTCTTAAATAAGACTTTCTAAACGTTCATATTTGGATTTGAATTAATATAAAACAACTCAAAATAATTTCTGTTCACGAACCATTCCTCTTGATAATTTTTTTCACATAACCCTTCCTCCATAGAGCACCCAATGAGAAGTAAATACAGTACTATTTATTGACTTGCAACATTCATACAAACCACAGAATAGTGTAGTAAATCTTGGAGTATTAACAGTAGTAAATTTCTGATTATTGCCTACAATATTGTTTTTTTATGCTTTAAAAATGAAACTGGAAAATACACAAAGTTCTTTCTTGAATAAGTTTAATTAGCCACAAGAATTGTAAATGCAAATAACTTTATTTGTTTAAAAAAATATACATTGTAATGTTTTTAATATTTTAAAATATTTTAGTAGCTGAACTGCAGTAAGGTCATCTTTTGAAGCTTACTTCACCCATCACTGGAACATAATGTGAGAAGCAACTTAGTCCCTCTTCATGGCCTAATTAGGCAAAAATATATCCAGATGACACAGACTTAGGTTCATGCCTTTCTTATAAGCATAAGCACAAAATGAATTATCCACTAGAATTTTGTCAGTTTCCTTTTTAAACACCTGACTCATTACCTCATAAAAGGGAGTGGTATTGTATTGAGTGGTGATAGTAAACAAATCATTTCAATTATTGCTTGTGAAAGAGTTTTTTGAGTGACAGTCTTGCTAGAATAGCTTGGGGTTAAAAAAAAAAGAAAAAGAAAAAAACTTCAATAAGTTTATGTGAAAAATTCTTTAAAATATTTTAACTCTTAAAACATAATTAGAAATATGCTTCCATGTCTTTTTAACATGTTCATTATGTTTTAAGCTTATTTAACTTTTGATATTCTAAGAGGATCTATTGAGCAAGCTTTTTAACATGTTGGTCTTTTAAGCACCTTCACCTATCACCAGGACTAACTGCTCCTCACACTTTATATTTCTATATTGTAATTGTGATATGGAATTTTTTGTCTTTGTTTTCTGTGAGTACTAAAATTAAAATCACAAAAGGTAGACATACATTTTGGTTATGCTAAGACTACCACTACCATACATGGTAGTTACAATTACTATTTAAGATTCATATTTTACAAATACATATAACAGTATAAAATAGGGTATATTTGTAATATATAAATATCTTTTTGTAAGATTTACCAAAACATTTCAAAGACATTTTAGAAGGAAAACAGAATAAAAAAACCCTTCATATTTAAAAATTATATTTGTTAGAAAGTGCCAATTTAAAATTTAGTACTGAAGAAAAAAAAAAAAAAGAAGAAAATTCAGTATACTTACGTCTATAAAAAGACTCGTCAAAATCTTGAATTTTGGCAAAATGATTGCTATCAGTTAAGAATAGATTTTATTTTTGGGGAGATGGATTTAATATTTGTTTCTTTTTATCATTCAATTTAAACATTTTTTAAAGATAAATGACAAAAAGAGATGAAAAGAAAAAAATCATTTCAATTTTGGATCACAAAAAGTTCAATTATTATAGTTTGTGGATCTTGCTGATTCTTGTGTGGACATGATTTACAAAACTGAATCTATAGCAAACAACTGTTAAAACATTTTACAAAAATATTTCAATATCTCCAAGACATTTTGGAAGGAAAATAGAAAAAAAAAAACCCTTCAAATTTAACACTAAGTTTGATTGAGAGAAGAAAAAAAAATCTTATTTGCAAAACTTGTTTTTCAAGTCTTTTAAGTGCAATATACCAAAACCCAAATCAACAAAAGAGGACTTGTCTCCTCAAATATCAAGAGACAGCATAATATTCATTGTTGTGTTAAAACATGATTGTCCAGTAGAATAAGATACTTGAACAGAATCACATTTTATATAAAAAAAATACTGGTTTGCTTAATTTTAAACTGTTCTCTTTACTGGCATTGGTTTCACAGAGCTGACCCTTTTCTATTTTTAGAGGCTTAGTTTCAACAAAGCAGAGCCAAAAAATAATTTTGCTTAGGTAATGTCAATCAATATCAGTGAGACAATCTAGTTTCACAAAGCAAGTAGAGGTGTTGCCATCAGAGTTACAATTGAAGCAGATATGCCAAAATCTACTTTAGAGTTTCTTCTGATGACTAAGCTTCTACCAGTTGGCAAGTCTTCTTAAGGAGTGTAAATCTATACAAGTAATACATATATTTTTCATTTGGAAGAAGACAATGTTTTATATAAATTCAAAGTAGGAATTCTACTAAAATTCATAAAAATAACTTATTCTTTATAATAATACTTTTCTTCCAATAGTTTAATTATTCTTAAAAGTGTATAGATTTAATAATTGTGATTGGGACTGGTATGAAAAAAAAATAGGTTGAAATCTATCTACCTTGTTTAAAAAATTGAACCAGAGCCAATCATATTATGACCAGCAACATTACTAATGTACTTTTCTGAAATAAGTTCATAATACGTATTTTATAGAAAAAATACTGTGTCATATAAAACCTACAAAACTAATTCCTGACCCATGAAAAAGCATAATGGACAGAATACTGGCTTGGAGAATGGCATCTAAATGTGAAGCTTGCAAGCTACAGGCACATTCCTTCTGGCTGAAAGCAAGTCAGTCTGCAGTAATTCAGACAGATAATATGTATGCTTCTCTGATACCATCTGGAGCCCAATTCAGCAGGGTAGAGAAAGGGACTGGTAGGTCATCTTCCAATAGACAATTTGCCATCTTTGCAACTCAATCCCTGGCTCATTTCCAAAAGTATTGCCAGAGTAGATTTGTTTCTCTCTTCATTGACTGTAAGATTCCTGACTGTCAGCTGTTGTGCTCCCACCACTCCTTTGCCTGACACTCAATCCACTTAGTCACATGACACAAACCACACACCTGGTTCACAAAAACATAGATCAACAGAGATTAGCAGTTGAAAAACAATATACCTTAGAAAATTATTTCTTTTCTATTTTTTTTTTCCTGAGAGATTGATTTGTTATGAATTAAAAGTTGTCAGGAAAAATGATTTCACAGTCATTGCTTTCGATTATTTTAGCTATTAAAATTTGTAAGTATATTTTTAGTTTTATTATTATTACTTAGTGCTATGTCTCATTAAAGACATGGACAATCATAGCTCTTCACAGTTTCCATTTCTTTATCATCTGTGAACAGCCGTAACTTCTTGAGAAAGTTTATGTTAGTTGATTTTATATGTCAACTCTTGTTTGTTCATTTCATGTTGAATTTTATATAGGGGCATCCAGTGAGGATAAAACTCGCTACTCAGTAATAATTGTCAACCAGACTAGTCTTGCTAATCATTACCCCATGTTAAGGCACCTGGGAAAGATTTGGTTTCATATTGTCCTCTCCATGGTTTTGAATTCAGGGTAGTCCTTTTCCTAAACTGGTTACCAGCCTACTCTGCTCTTTAGTCCAATGCCTCGAAGGAAAAGAGATGGATTCATACTTTTCTCAAAGACATTTGTGCGAAAATTGAATGCAACTAGGCTGGAATCTGAACACAATAACTGTTATACATCTTGCACATCCTACAAGCACATTGTCTATCATTTTGTTGATATAAAGAATAAAAACAGAAGTATGAAGCCTAAATGTTGTCTTTATAATAGACTGATACTTTCACATTTTTATATTCTTTTAATTTATGGAATATATAAATATAAAATTATACTTTTTATTTTAATTGAAGGGAGAATATCATGGATTGAGAATATGAGTAACAAAGAAGTTTTAAAGAAAATAGAAACTTGAAATCAGAAAATGACAGTTGAAATTTCTAGGAGACATAATGAGGAAATAAGGTTTGGAAAATTTGACACTCACAGGGCATATTTAAGGCAGGAGGGACAGAAGAAAGCAACAAATAACTTACCTAGTAAGCTTGTATAAATGGATAGCAGAACAGGGATTTGGATGGAAAGCAAAAAAGTAAACCTTACTAAAAGTGACAAAGGATAGAAGTTGTGGAGTGCTATGATTGTCCATGTCCTGAAGAAACATGGCACATAGAAGATTAAAAGGTAATATATTTTTAAATAGAAATATTGTAGATGAAAAGAAAGGCTGTTCTCTTCAACATATGAAGAAAATATATATATTTTAGGCATTTATGCAATTCAATAATTTTCCATATAGACCCTTTTTTGGTGAATAACCCTCCCAAATTATTTTCTGAGTGGCTTCATCTTTTGTTATAAATGTAGGAAAAAAACTATAATTATCTCTTGTTTTTCTTTTTTTGTAAATATTCATGTACAACAAATTGGTTCAAGTCATTTAATAATGTTATTGTTACATAAATATCAATCTATATTATAAAAGAAAAGCTGATTCTCTGTCACAAACTGAGTGTGATTTTGCACGCATATATGGAATGTATATGCATATGTCTGTATTATCAGTCTGGACACCCCTTACTCTGAGATGAGCAATAAAATAAAAGTTGGAGATATAAAAAAAAAAAAAAAAAAATTGATAATTATAAGATTTTGAGCTTTTTTGAAATTATTTAGTAATATAATTTTCTGTATTTTAATTTTACATCTGTAATAGAATTAAAATATACATGCAACAACCCATGAGTAATAGGAATAGAGTATAAACTGAAATTTTATGATGCCTTCTGTATTTAAACTGAATATATTTTATAATGTAATATTTTCAATGGACAAACAATTTAGATTTGAAATTTTATCATCTTGCCATCAGGAAAGTGACAGGTACCAAACTAGTATATAATGATATTTATCACTTTTAAGATGCCTTAAAAAAAAGTTGAGTTTAAAAACAACATAGAATAAGAAACAAGATCCATAAGATGTTAAAGGACATTTTAGAAACATTTAAATTATGACAAAATCCAAAGGATCTGTAATGTAATTAATCATGGCCAGGTATCTTGACTTCAATCATTTTCTCACCAATATGAAGTGGCTTCCCTCTATCTTTTCTACAAAAATATTTATGGCAACTGCTCTGACAAATTTTTTTTACTGGTGCCCTGACTACATACATTTAAGTGTATTACTAGACTAGTATCTAGGTTCCACATTTTACTGTTGAAATAGCTAAATGCAACTGCCACTTCTACTCCAACAGTCTTTCTTGCACATCACATCCCTTCCATTTCCTCGCTTCTCTGATAGCTGTAATCTTCTAAAATTTGAATGCAATGTCTATCACCATCTTCTGTCATCTTGAACCCTGCTCGTATTTTGCCCTTTCCTCAATCCTCCCTATTCCTAGTCTTCTCTTTCTCTTTCACTCACTGTAACCCACTGTGTACTAGCGGCATTACCATCTTGCTTGGGGTGAAATGATTAAAATAAAATAAAAATCTGCTGATAAAATTGTAATTTTATCAGGTAAAAGGACCAATACAAAATGTTATACCTGAATCAAGAAGTCTATGTAGTGAAGACTTTAATAATAAAATTTCAAATCTCATATATTTTTGGCATTTGTAAATTACTTTAGATTTATTCCACCCATCTTATCATAGGGATATTTGTATTATTTTCTTTTTTTTATCAGATTTATTAATATTCCAGAAACATATTTACAAATTGTGCATTTGCATGACTAACTTGCATCCCTTGGAGTTTTGTGAATTCAAATATATCCTTTCTTGGATTAACAGGTGAAATCTTAAAATTAAAGCATACTACATTGATTAAATATAAATAAAAATTCACACTTTCTCCAAATCAAATATAATACTAACTCCAATTTTTTACTCAGAATTCTTCTATCACTTACCATAAAACAAATATACATACACACCTCTATATATCTGCGACTGCTACAGTACACACACACACACACACACACACACACAAAGGACTTTTATACTCAACATCCCTCTCCACCTTTTTGCACTCTCCACAAAGTTCACATGGCAAGGATATGGTGTTACTTTACAGTTGAGTACTCGTGTATTCACAAACTCAGCAGCCACTTCAGCTTTGGACTTCCCCACATCTTTAGGTCTGCAAGGAAATTAAATAAACATCCAAAAACATTGACAAAAATGAACACGCGATAGAATTGCTGTTATAGACATAAGCAAGTGTATATCAAATATCAAGAATTATGAAGTATTCATGCACTATTTACATTTGTTACAATTAGGTTGCAGCACTTTAAAAGAGACGAAAGCCAGATGCTCCCTGAGTTTGTTCAACAAGAGGACAGTCTTTGCAGACTGTGCATGGGGGCAGGGTGAAGTTACATGACCCCACCCAATAGTAAGAAACATTTTATGCATTTTCATTTTAACAATTTTGTCCCAATAAACAAAGGATTTAAAGAAAAAAAAATATACATGCATTTTCTTTTCAAGGTAAAAACACTTAATTGTAATATAGAAAGTTAATATCTAAAAATATTTCAAATAATATAAAAGTGTTTTTTTATTATTATTACAAATAAAAACAGTGCAAATGGAGATTTTTAAATAGCAGCAGAAGTCATTTCTTTGATTTTACAAGCATTTTATTAATTTATAAGCATTCATGTCTTAAATCAAGTACTGTAATTTGCCAGCTTATAAGACAGCTTGTAATCTTGGAGGAAGAGTCCATTTGGGGAGAAATGAGTTAGCCTTTCTAATTTGGAAAGTTCTATAATACGATGTTAACATATAAAATCCATATTTTCTTTTGAATATTGCTCTTTCATCTAACAAGAGTTTCTAAAGTCTACTTCAACTCTATACCTCTAACATTTCTGGCTGAGCTCTGAAATTTTATTCATTAATTATTCATTTAATTTTTCTTCTCTCTCAATAGAAGTAAATAGGTTTATCTATCATATAGTTCACATTCCTCCTTGGTCTTTTGAACAGGAATAAAGATTTATCCTTTGTTTCCAGTTTAGGATTGGGTTTCTAGTTCCTTCCAAAGTCTACTTCAACTCTATACTTCTAACATCTGACTGAACTCTGAAATGTTATTCACTAATTAAATCTTGACCTTTTCAAGTTTAGAGTTAGCCGTTATCTTTCCTGCATCGCCCCAAGAACTTCACTTCTTTCCCTTTTTTATGCTCATAAAACACCACACAGTAACCCTCAACCTTGAGGGGCTCTTAGGCCTTGTATTGGGTGAACATTTATAAAAACACAAAAAACGAGTATTTTTCTACTCCTCATCACAACTTATTTCAGCCTCTTAACTGTAAAGCTCAAGCCTTCAATGCATCATTTCCATCCATAATACTAACACATTGAATAGAGTGTACTAATTAATGACCAGTTTTTAACTTTCAATATTTGTAGTTGTTATTTCATAAATTATGGCTGTAATTACTGTTAACTGATGATAATTGACAAAATTTGATCATATTATTTAACCATAAGATGGTTCCTATGCTTTCTATCAAATGTAAAGTTGTACCAACACAGTGAGAAGTGCCAAGGGTTAAAAATGTATTTGTCTGCATGCCTACTTGAGCAGAATAATACAAGATCAAGTTTAAGTAGAAGCTCATGCATACATTGACTAGGAACAAAACTTTCTCAAGATCCCTCTGCACTTCCCCTTTTGGGGATACCTCAGGTGCCAGATAATGTTCTTTAGCCTCTTCCTGCGAGAGAAGTAGTGACTGGGGGAACAGCCTCCTGAGGCTTGAGCACATTAAGTTTCAATCACCTGTCTCAGCTGAGCCACAAGTAAAGCAATTTAAGATTCAGATAAAACAATATTTACACTCAATGAAGAGAACTAAAAGATAAATTATTATTAGGTTGAGTCATAAATAATTTCCGTTTTTGTTTATCAACTTTATTCTTCAAAAAAATAAAGTACAATTACATTTTATTCAATTATATATCCACCAGCATTTCTCTATCTTCTCCAAGTGTCAGCATATGGTAGATTGTGATTTGTTTAACATTTTTGCTAATTGCTGAGTACTTTACCACTAATGACTTTAGAACTTCTTTAAAGTTTGATAAACGCTTCAGTCTGAGTTCATCTTTTAACAAAGTTTCTCTAGAACAAAACTTTGTAAATCAATTACATACTTGGTGGTCAGTTATGACTTTTTGATCATAAACACTACATATTTCTCTAGATGCCTCCATAGCATTATTCACTTGTTTGAACTCTCAGAATATTATGTAAATCTAATCTTTCAATCTCTCCATTAGTCAAGTTAAGAAATTTATTCTTTAATCCACTATGTATACTGCTAGTGTCATGCAAACACTAAGGTATGTTAGTGTACTCCAAATTTATTCTTAAGTGCCACATATGATTAGCAGTTAGGATAATACATTTGTGTTGGTTCCAATCCAATGGGGAATGACTGCAAAACACTTTCCCCTCCCTAAATTATAGGCAGAAGCACACAAATACATGCTAGGATTTTTTCCTAGCCCATAAAATAGGCCGATTTGTGGTTTAATATTACTCAATCCCTATCTTCTTGACCTTGAATGCTACTTCATTTATCCGAATTTGATCTTGTGTGTCAACATCAATCCTTAGTTTGTGAACTTTCTGCCATATTATTATTGCTTTGCCTTGCATATATTGTTTGCTCACTTTATATTTTTGCCCTTTTCCATTCTTTTTCTTGTTATTGCTTATTATGAACTTTGGCATTTCTGCCATTTATTTACATTTAACCATGGCCACTCACTGTCTTTTACAGTTGGTTTCCAAAAACAGAAATTACTTAGGACTCAACCTAATAGATATAACACAAATAAAAATTGACTCCAACAACTGCAAGCATTTAAAAGAGACTACAAGAACAGAATCAATTCAATGATAACAGATTTAAACTTAATGGATGTATTATTTTATATCTAAGCAACTCATTTAGTAAAAGAATAATATAAGATGGTAGCAACATCAAAAATATAGATGACCTTGTATGCACAGTTCAATAGGAAAGGAACTGGCTTGGTTTTATTTTCTATCATTTCTAAAACTCAGAGTTAAGATTATAACAATCATCATAAAAGTATTTTCCTTGTTTCTTTTAAAACAAAGTCTTCAAAATAAGATTCATATTTAATGCAACATATTTGTGCATAGAACTAGAAGAGTCTTTCACAAATAACTATTAAATGTGTTCTATCAAACAATTCTATGATGGCAAAAGTGAATGGCTATAGAAACCAAAAATAGTTGAACCCATTCACACTGAGAAAAAAGACAGCGAATCAACTGCAGATGTTTAGTATTAAGGCTAATCTTTAGCCTCTGTGCAGCATAAGTAACTGATTTGTCTAACAATAGCATTCATCTCATTTGTTTGTACTTACTGGGATTTCACCCTACTTTGCCAAATGCACAAAGACTAGAAAAAAATAACTGTCTAAATGTCAAAAAGCCATTTATTTATTTCCAGTTAAACAGTTGCCTTGTATTAGCTTACAAACCAAAGAGAGAAATTCAATAATTTTCTTTTACATGAATGCTTTAGCTTTGCAGATTTATAAATAAATGATAATGTGCTTCTTTTTTTGTTATTTGACTGTAAGAACTTAAAATGGCTTTACTATAGAAATGTTATAGAGTTTCTACCATCCACACATTTTCATGATTGAAGACCAACACCTCTGTCCACACATACAGAATAGTCATTAGGTGAATTATTACAACTCGTAGTAATTTCAAGAATGATAAATATAGACCTATCTAAAATAAGGAACAGCAGATTAAAATGACAAAATGTGAAAAGATTAATGCGTAGGCAGTAAATCCTATCATTTTGAATATTTTTAGTTTAACTAATTTGGTTGATTTTGTTTAGTGGCATATCAACCTCTATGGGTTATTTAGTGCTGAAATCTAAATATTTTGAACAGTTTTATAGCTTCAACTACAGATAAAATGTATTCTTGGTCATTTTGCTATAAAATTTATTGTTGGTAATTTTACTGCTTTGAATATACGCTCTATATTATTGGTAATTTTTATTTATTTTTTTTTTTTTTATAAAAAAATGTATTGCAGGTATTTTTACTATAAAAATGTATTTTTATATTTTCTTAGTGTTTGGAGGTTCAATATTTGCCCATGGCTGGGGCCCTAACAGGTGCTGCTACTCCAGGTCATGGTGGACCAAGGAACAACAGCAATTAAGAGGGGGTTCCATGCTCCCCAAAATCACCTATCTCCTGATCAGAGACCTTGCTGCCGATATAGTTTATCGTCATACCCAGGACTATAATTTAACTGAATCAGTTACAATAATAAATAAGTTTATAAAAGTGAAAATTCACCATTTACACAAATTTAGAAAATTGTTTTTAATGTTTATAACAAGGAATAAACCATAAATAACTCCTTATTTTCATTTTTTAATGAATATCTTAATACAGAATTTTTGAACCTATTTTAAACACACTAGTAAAAATACATATAAAATCTTGTGAAAAAAATCAATGTGATAAATAGATGTAAAAACAAATTAGCATTCACAAAATACACTCGAGAAATTAAAATCACTTTTAAATGTTACCTCTGGGATTAACACTTATGACTAAACAATATGATTACCATAATATTCTCGTTCTAAGCAACATTTTTATTGTTAATTTATAAGAAAAAATATTAAGGAAAAAAAACAATAAAAAACAAAACAAAAAAAACAAAAGAAAAGTTATGTGGGGATTACTCCCACCAGGTGGCATTCTATTCCAGAATATATAAGAAAAGCACAGAAACACTATCACTCTCTTTTTGCACCAAGATAGAGTAGTGACAATATAGAATTTGTCTCCACTGGGAGGCAATTTCTTCCCCTTGGGAAACTGATTAGTTAATTTCAAATAAAACCATGTGAATACTCACACATTTACATTATAGCTAAGTATATAAATGTCTTGATACCTTTTTTGAGCTATCGGTAGACACATAAGTATAATTTTCTTTCTTTTCTTTTGTGAGCTGTGTTGATCTTTATAGATTTCAAATTTCTGCACATGTCAAAATTCATTTACTTTGAAAATCTTCATTCTTGTCAGCAACAACTCGTAACTCCTCCTACTACAAAATGGTGACCAACAGCTATCTTGTCCATCACAACTTATATCACCTATTCGCCATAATGTCTATTCCCAACTGTAATGATAAAAGCACCAAAAAGGAAGAACTTACCTGAATAAAAATTGCCTGTTGAGATTTGATACATCAATGATATCCATATCTATGACATCAATATTACCAACACCCAAAAGTGCCTGCAAAGGAGAACAATTTTTTCAAAGTAAACCTGACCAATTTCTTTGTTTTATTTATTTTCTGAACAATAACTAATCAAATATGAATTCTTTTAAAAGAGAAATATCTTTTTTTCTCATCTAATTGCTGTGATTTCAAAAAAAAAAAGAAAACTTAAAAGGATGATAGAGATCATAGGACATGAAAAAAAAATCAAAATGCCAGAGTTACCTTTATTAGAAAAGAAAACTGAAAAAAAATGCAATCAACAAGAAATGTCTTTTTTTCATTTAACTGTATAACCCATGATATTTATGGGAAAGATTTATTAAATAATTTCATTGAAATTCTCATTTACTCAAATAGTAACAACAAATTCTGAAAGAGAAAAAACAAAATGAAAATAATCACTTGTATTTTAGTAAGGTTAGAGTTTTATTGCTTCCCATGGCTCAGCCATTTTCTGCACTAATAAACTAAATATTTCTGTTGGTAGAGAAAGAAAAATTGAAACACCCATTTTCTGCATTATTAAACTGATAGCAGGAAAAAAAATTGTGATTAAACACTAAATATTTCAATTCGTAATAAAAAATTTGAGTAAGTGTCGGGATTCAGTCTGTATGAAGAAAAGATCTCAATGATTAGAATTTAAGGCAATGATAAAATAGGACACTTATATGTATATGTTTTCAAACCTTTATAAAATTTTACAATAGGTAAAGAAAATAGCTAACTACTTTATAAATTTAATATTCAGAGGGAGGACTACACAAACACTGACGTTTGGTTCAGGAGGCAACAATCAGATTCTCCTCTTCCAATGTTAGGTTTCCTCAATTCCTCCTTCATTTTGAAGTATCATTTTGTAATTGTTTTTCACTATTATAGTTGAGACATATATATATATATATATATATATATATATATATATATATTACAATAAACGTGCAATCAATTTACAAATACATGAGATTATTCACACAAAAACTAATGCAAGGTTAATGATTTAAATGGCTGACATCCATCATTTCAAATAATATACAAAAACCTCCAGGGTCCGTTATAGATGAAATGATCCTTGTTTATATAAATTTCTGCCATTTAGTTCTTATTTTACTACAAGCTTTCGTCTGTTCCTATTACTAAGAGAAAAAACAAGAACAACATCTATTCTATACCTGAAGATGTCTGTAGGAACAGACGAAAGCTTGTAGTAAAAATAAGAACTAATACGGCAGAAATTTATATAAACAAGGATCATTTCATTCATAACGGATACGGAGGTTTTGTATATTATTTTGTTTATGGCGATGGATGTCTCGCCATTTAAATCATTAACCTTTGCATTAGTTTTTGTGTGAATAATTCATATATATATATATAGTTAAAAATCCAAGTGTTCCTTGTCTGAGAATCACTGATCTATAGATAACTGCAATTATTGATCAAATATGAAATTGGCTATTCACATTCCAAAATCAAATACTAATTATTATATGCTTTCTATTCAGCCTATTTTGCTCATATTGGTCATGATATTTAAATTAAATAGGTTAATTAGGTTAAATAACAAAACAGACTGCGTCCTATAGCCTAGGAGAAGGACAACTCTGAATTCAAAATCTAAGTGGTTAGCAACTAAACTGGCTCACCTACTAGGCCCTGGTCTAGTGAGGAAAAGTGAACTCCATCAGCACAAAAAAAGAGCTGTTAAAGGGCAGATGAACTCCTCACAGTCAACAGTCACCTACTCCAACTATAGGTTAAATTGCTTCACTAATCTGCTATTGGCTAAGCATGATGAGTACAGCTATAGTTCTGAAGACATGGTCAATCAGGGAGAGGTTCCTCCAACAGGATTGAGTAGGCCATGAATTTGAATTTGAATTTGGATTCTCTGGCCTTCTTCAAGTGTCTGTCATACTTGGTAATCTCCTTGGAAATTTTAAATTGTTATTCAATCCACTGTGCCAGGGGAGGGAGTTTTCACCTCTTTTTCCATGTTTAGGGGATTTATTAATTAATTCTTTTTAGTCTATTTGTCTTGTGTTGCTTGTCTATTTCTTCCAGTGAACCAAAGAAAGACCCAAGCAACACAAAGGCTATATAACATACACTGAATTTACTCCAGTCATCATGAATACTTGCACTCACCTTGATTTGAATGTCTATTGAGATTCAAGTTTATTCCAGACCTCAAGTGGAACCTGTATATATGATCCATCACTAAAGTTGCTGGAAAAATGGTCGACTCCTTTTATTACTCCGGAAAGTACATGGCTCCTCCTGCTATGCTTTATCTTTACAAGAGTCAGATTGGAACAAAAATGGGCTATTGCCACCATATTTGTACTCGAGCTACTCAATCCTCACTTTCCAGTATTAATGTTCAAAACTGCTTATGCAACCTTGTGAGGGATTACATATTTTTCACCCTACAGCCTCTATCCCACAGATGCAACACCACAATTACTCTATTGCTATTTCCATGGCAAATGTTCAGATGAGCTCCATTCTTTAGTGCCACCTGCCCAGATATTTACAGCCAAGACCCACCTTGTTACATTAACAGGGTTGAACCACACCCATTCCCAACGTATTCCTTTGGTAAAGAGCATTCTACTCTGAAAGCTTCTTAAAAACTGTCACTTTATGGAACAGACTCCCACATGGATGCTTCCCTGAATACTACAATGTTAACCTCTGCAAGTCTAGGTTCAATTGTTAATTACCTACCATATCCTCTGTAGCTGAATTTTACCTTGTTTTTGATGTCACCTTCAACCTAATAAAAGGTAAATATAAACCATACAGAAAATCCAATGATAAACCACTGTATATATATATATATATATATACACACACACACACACACACACACCTTCCAGCCATCTGCCATCAATAATCAAGTTGGTACCACAATCAATTAACTGCAGGCTTTCCGACAATTCTTCTAGTGAAATCATATTCAACAAAGCTAAGAAAGACTGATACAGCCCTAAAAGATAGTGGATTCTCGGCAACACTTACATGCACATCACAAAAAAGAAGTGAAACATCATATAGTTCAACCCAACGTACAACAAAAACGTAAAAACAAATGTAGGAAAAATATTCATTAAACTCCTACACAAACACTTCCCCACATCAAGCACTCTCCACAAGATGTTCAACAAATACACAAAAAATCAGCTACAGTTGCACTGAGAACATGACTCAAATAATAAAGCAGCACAACAGGAAAGCAATCAACAAACCACCTGAACAAATTAAACCCACATGTAACTGCAGGATAAAGAACAAATGTCACTTAAATGGCAATTGCTTGCAAAACAATATAATATACCAAGCCACTGGAAAATCAGCAGGTAATGAAGAAAAAATATACATAGGAGTAACTGAAGAATGCTGGAAATGAAGAAACTATGCACACAAAACATTCTTTACAAATTGTAAATACGCAAACTGCATGATGCTTTCTAAACCTATCTGGGAGATTAAAAACAAAAAAAAAAAACAAATTGCATCAAAAATATCATGGAAAATAAGGAAAAGAACATCAGCCTACAACAATCAATCCAAAAACTGTAAACTCTACCTAGAAGAAAAAATAGCTATAATTACCTTGCAAACTACTAAATAAACAATCAGAACTCATCTCAAAATGCAGACACAAAAACAAATTTTTACTATGTTATTTAAAATTCAAAAACTGAAAATGAACAAGAATAAATGAAATTAAATAAATAAACGAAAACAAGTAAAATAAATTAATCCAGATAAATAAATGAACTCAAGTAAATAATAAACAAATTAACAAACCACGCCCAACAAAATAACCATTAGAATAATAGACTACTGATAATGCATCACTGACCTATATATATATATATAAGGTTGAGCAAAAACAATGCACATGGCCTGATGATTGCGTTTAGCATGAAACAGCCTGTCACCTCTGGGTATTGACTTCAATGTTCTCTTTTATATTTACACATGTTCTGTCTCTGATATTAAAAACTTTAACCCATAAATACCTTAAAACTATATTTTATCATATATATTAGTAAAGAGAAAAAAGAAAATTTTCATTTAACAAAAGATATTGCAATAGATTTAAGAATCTCTTACCAATATTTTATTTCAAGGCTCATAAGACATTCCGATGCATTAGATGCCCCTACCATTTTGAAGGAAGAAATCATAAAAATGTTTTTATTTTTACTTTTATAGCCTACCCCACTATTTCCAGTTTTATCCACTGAATAGCCTATTTCATCATGGAATCCTGACTAATCATAACAAATTCATCACAGACTGAGAAGTACCGAATTTACATTCAGAATGTAATAATTAGAAGAGATGTCAACTCCTGTCAGCGACCTTCAATTTATAGAATGCAGGGTGGTTTTTGGAAATGTTTTTATGGGGAAAAAAAATGTCACTTATAAGCAGCAAAATATGGTAGTTACAAAGTGGTTTGACAAATAGTAGGGCAAAGATATAATTTTAGAGGAATCATATCTAGATTTGTTTTGGAATACAAGAAAACAAAAGTAAAAATAAAGTGGTTTTGTATTAATGAGAACATTTTTACTCTTGGTCAATTCACAGAGTAGATACTGCCTGCTGTCATTTTGGAATATAATATCAAAGATTAAATTGAACTTTTATATGCAGAAAATTAAGACAATTGAACTGGGTCAATAATTGTGCAAGGGGCCAAGGTCAGAATGTTTTGTTTTGTTTTATGGCATATCAACCTCAATGGGTCATTTAATGTCGACGACTTTTTTCTTTCCAATAATATTTTTGTTTTGTTAGAAATCCATTTCTATCAATATTTCTTTCCGCAAATATATAGCCGGTAATAGTATTTTCCAAAAACGTATTGCTGGTAATATTTTTTCCTTCAAGAATTTATTTCTGATAATAATTTTTTATTTATTCCTCTACAGTTCCATTGAAGTATCTTATGTGTATTTGTGATCATTGTTTTCCTATTTGGTTCATTGGA